AAAATTTTACAGGCTTTTCGATAATAATAACTTATCCGGATATCTACCACCAGAATTATCCATGTTACCGAATGTGCGCATCATGTATGTCATATTCCGACACTGTCTGCATTTTTAATTTGGAGTAACTTGTTTCCGTTTATCGGATCTTAGTTGGTAAAGTTTCTTCTTGACCAGATTTTCTTCTTGGTTGACAGAATAATATCTTTCTTTATATATGTTGTTCCTTCCATTTTTCAGTCAGTGCGATAACAACAACTTCAGTGGGACTGAGATTCCAGCCTCTTATGGAAACCTTTCCAGATTAACAAAACTGTAAGTTCTTTTATTACTTCCCCTTCTTTGATTCCAGTATTTCTGCTTCTCGGGATGCTTTATTTTGCGTTTATTACATGGTGCAAAAATTTGTTTCGAAGGATTTCTGATACTTTTTTTTTTGTTTTTGTCTTTCTGATTTGGCAGAAGTCTTAGGAATTGCAGTTTGCAGGGAGAAATTCCTGACTTTAGCAGGATAGCTAACCTTAGTTATATGTAGGTATTGATATGGTTCAACGACGTTCAATCAGCACTATAATGCGTTTATTTAGTCTTCCATTCATGCTCCTATTGCCTAACCTTTTACTGTCTTCATGGCACAGAGATCTAAGCCGGAATCAACTTTCTGGATCCATACCGTCACACAGACTTTCTCACAATATAACAACAATGTATGTTGCTGGCCTGCGTAAATTTGTAACATGTTCTATGTTTACTTCACTTTGGTTCATCAGTATGTTAAATTTAAATGAATGGGGCACAAGAAAATTATTAGATATCACTATCTGTAGTTAAATGGTTGATTTAAGCAGCTTCTTGTTGACATACTCGTTACTATCGCAGCATTCTGTCAGACAACCATCTTAATGGATCGATTCCTGAGAGTTTTTATGATCTTCCAGCTCTTGAGAAAGTGTAAGAATCTGTCTACTTCCCTAAATTTTTGTTTCGGATTGTATATGAACACTAGATCAGATTCTTATAATGATTCTATTACAGGTCGCTCCACGACAATTTTATTACGGGTTCTGTCCCTGCTATGTGGCGGAATATACCTTTCAGTACAACAGCTAGATTTGCACTGTATGTTCCTCGAGCAGAAAGAGCAACATAAATTATTAGATTTCTTGGAGTGCTTTCCCTTTTCAGTGACCTTTGATTTAAATTTTGCAATGAATTATAGTAAGATTTTAGAGTGAAACTTATATGCTAGTCGATTATTGCAGTGATCTTCGGAACAATTTGCTTTCACAAATATCGGAAGAGCTAAATCCTCCTGAAAATGTCACTTTGAGGTATGAAAATTATTAGCAACATTACACTTTGTTTTACTTCGATAATTTCAGATTCTTACTTATAGCAGCTTTTCTCAGGCTTGAAGGAAATCCTGTCTGCAAGAGTGCAAGTGTACCAAATATAGGCCAGTTCTGTCGATCTGAAGCTGGAGGAGACGGGATCTCTGAAAACTCGATAAACTCCACTCAACCAATGACCTGCTCTAGCCAAGAATGTCCAACAGACTATTTCTACGAATATGTCCCATCTTCCCCAGTTCCATGCTTTTGTGCATCACCTTTAAGAGTTGAATATCGTCTGAAAAGTCCTAGTTTTTCATATTTTCCTCCTCATATACAGATTTTTGAGATCTACTTAACTCGTTCTCTCAACCTGCACGTTTATCAATTATCAATTGATTCATTTGTCTGGCAAGAAGGGCCTCGTTTGCTGATGCATATGAAGTTTTTTCCTATGTTCATCAATCCACACTTGAATTTATTTAATGCAAGTGAGGTTCAGCGATTGAGAGGCCAGCTTACATCATGGGATGTTCCTCCAACTGATTTCTTTGGACCGTATGAGCTTCTCAAATTCACTCTGCTGGGACCTTATTCGAACAGTACGTATTTTATTACAAACATCTTTATTTTTGTTCTTTCAAAGTCGTCTGGATATTTTGCTGCATTTTTATATTTGCTTGGAATTGGATTCCCTTATTTTTACGTGTTAGTAACTTTGACAAATTGATTGCCTTGATAGCATGTCATAAAGACGAGAACATGTTTCTAATTCTTGGTTGAGTAACTTATTTGTTTCGTTGTTATAGTGATTGTTGAGCGGCAAAAGGGCATTAGCAAGAGAGCTTTAGCAGGTGTTATAATAGGATGCATTGCTGCTGTTGTCATTATTCCTGCAATAGCCATGCTTGTGACCAAAAGATATGTCAAACACCGTTACCCACCACCATCACGGAGACATTCATGTAAGCTCTTAATTGTAATTGATAAGACCAAATTTTGAAGATGCTATTCCGGTGACTATCATCCTAGAAAGTAGAATGAAGTCCTTACCGCTCTTTGCAGCCTTAAAGATCTCTATGAGAATTGAAGGTGTAAAGGCGTTCACTTTCAAAGAAATGAAAGTAGCTACTCAGAATTTCGATACTTCAATGCAACTTGGACGAGGAGGCTATGGGAAAGTTTACAAAGGCATTTTGTCCGATAACACAGCTGTAGCCATAAAGCATGCAGAAGAAGGATCCTTACAGGGCCAAAAGGAGTTCTTGACCGAGATAGAACTGCTATCAAGGGTACATCACCGAAACCTAGTCTCTTTGGTGGGATATTGTGATGAAGAAGGGGAGCAGGTATGAAGCTTGCAGTCATGAACAATTACTCATCGCTGTTGCTTGCACTATAAGTTGCAGCTGGTTTTTCTTATGATTTGCTTGTATCTTTAATCAAATTATATCTTCTTGTTGCTTGTGCAGATGCTGGTTTACGAGTTTATGCCTAATGGTACCTTACACGACTGGCTTTGGGGTACGAAAATTTCCAGCATTCCCAGTTTCTTAAATGACTACTCGTATTCATATGTGCGTATCTGGATACTCGTCTTCTAAAGTTTTGTACTCACTATGATATGACAGTTAAAGCCAAGGGAAGCCTGGACTTCACTATGAGGTTACGCATTGCATTAGGTTCCGCTAAAGGCATCCTTTATCTCCATACCGAGGCAAATCCTCCAATATTCCACCGGGATATCAAAGCCAGCAACATACTCTTGGACTCCAACCTCGTGGCCAAAGTGGCGGATTTTGGACTCTCGCGACTTGCACCTCCGCAGGATGATGAAGGGACCGGGTCCTCTTATGTATCTACAGTTGTGAAAGGAACGCCGGTATGTTAAAATCATGCAGAGCATATGAACCAGCTGTAGAATTACAAATAAGCGTCAAGAAGCGTTGTTTAATTCATAACTCTTTTGTTTTTGAATCATACATTGCAGGGTTACATTGATCCAGAGTATTTCCTGACCAATAAGTTGACGGACAAAAGCGATGTCTATAGCCTAGGAATCGTGTTTCTGGAGCTCCTTACCGGCGGTCAGCCAATTTCACACGGCAAAAACATAGTTCGAGAGGTACCATTGAGACATCACTTCTTTGGGATTTCTGTTGCTGAGATTTTGTCTGAAAAATGCACCAGTGTTCGGCATGCTGACACAGATCCTGTCTCAACACACCGAGCACTAATATTTATTCGCTGAGGCTAATAATCGCGAAATTATATTCATCTTTTTCAGGTGAATCTGGCTTATCAGGCAGGGCTGGTGTTCTCAATCATAGACAAAAGAATGCGATCCTATCCATCCAAATGTGTTGAGAGGTTTCTAGATTTGGCCCTCAGATGTTGTAACGAAAAGCCAGATAAGCGCCCTCATATGCTGGAAGTGGTGAGGGAGATCGAAAACATACTCAAAATCATGCCGGCAACCGACACCATATTCTCGCCATCTACTTCCTCGTACAGTGACCAGTCACCAACCTCGTCGTCCTTCATGACCGGAGACCGATCCAACATGTCCTCCAGCCTGCTGGCAGGAAGTGATCTAACCAGTGGCGTTGTCCCGACCATAGTGCCTCGATGAAGAAAAGTTTACACACACATGTCCCTCTCACTATAATCCCCTCGCACGCTGGCCAAGTGACGCTGTATATATTGGTGGCATGCAAAGAAGTAAAGCTCCTCCTCCTCCGACTAAAACAAAGACGAGTCTCGGGTGTTTCTTTTAACCTTGTCTCCGTTTTCCGGGACGTAGAAACAAAACATGATGTGCGAGTTTTCGGATGTAAAAAATGGAGTTTTGTCTCGGATTTTGTCTATGTAAAGAACGAAAAGATGAGTAATGGGCAATGTACATAAGTTAGCATCCTAGACCTTGTTCTACTACTATCTGAAAATTAAAACCAACTTATGTCAAATTAACCGTCTAAATCCTCCTCCAAATCCACTAATTGTACCATCTGTGTTACTATAAGAGTTAACAATTGATGGTCAATTTAACGGAATGTGTAAATTTGTTGAATGTCAAAACTTCATATGCAAACTAAAAAAAATTAAAACCTCAATGATTTTTAGCTAGTATGGTCTCTGAGATTGCTCACTGTCAATCATTTTGATCATTTCATGAAAATCTCTGTTAAATTAAGGGTATTTTTATCAAATCAACCCCTCCACTTGAAATAATGGTTTTTTCAATTTGATGGAGATTTTCACAAAATGATTGACGGTGGACAATTTCAGAGACCACTACTATCAATTTTTAATCTCAAATATCATAATGAGAAATTATGACAATCTCAAAAAATATAAAAAGCTGAAAGAATTCTTACAATTTTTTTCTTTTTTTGTTTTCTGACTTCTGAAGCTTGGTTTTGAAGAGATTTTTCAAAATGACCGGTAGACAAGATGGTAAAAAGTTAACAACTTAAAAAATAAAAAATTTCACCACTCATATAAATGCACGTAATATACGACTCGTATTCAATCATAACGAAAAATTTCTTTTAGTTTTGGCAAAACCAAGGAGCTGAGTGCTCTGACTGCTGACCCACAAGATTTAATAAATTCCAATAAAGTCCCACCATTTTTCCCTTTTGCAAATGAAATCCAAATCCCACCCAAAGAGGACCACCATTTTACTCCCACTACTCAAAACGTTAAATTCGAATTTATCTCATTATCCCCACGTTGTCTTATACATTTATTTAATCAAATTCAATTTAATTCAATTTCGAGGCCAAAACTCGACGGAAGGGTTTATTTTTACCGGGAAACCTTTTCAGTCGCCATCTGAATTGCGGTTGACTGACGTCTCAGTCAAGCCCCCGCGCTCTGCTGCTTTCTTCCTTCCTTCCCGGGCCTCTTTTGTTCTATCGGTAAGGTTTTTTATTTCTCAATTTTCTTATTCTGATTCCCAATTTCCCTTTTGGGGTTTTCTTTATTTGATTGATTCATTGGTAATGTGCTGTTTGATTGCTGTTATTTCGTCTGAAAGGAGAAGAATTTGATGAAATTTCGGAAAAGGGTATTGTGATGAGTTGCTTAATTTCAAATTAATTGCTTGAATTGTTAATTTAATCACCTAGGTTATTGCTTATATAATTTACAACGGTTGGATTCTGTATTATCACATTGTTTGTGAAGGTGGGTTACATATCTCTGAGCTTGTGATGATCTACAAAGCCAGTATCCTTTATTGAGGCCTTATATTTTCGGGTTGCAGTCCGATTTTGTAAATCAGTGAAGGTTCATCTTCTTTGATGTGCAATTTAGTGCTAAACTAATCAGTAATTACGTATTTTAGCAAATTGTTTTTCGTTTATTTGAGAGCTATAGTTTTACAACATAATTTAGATCAAAAGGTGTGTCGTGTGTAACCAAGGAATGTGGAAGTGTTATTGCATTACTAATGTAGTGAAGCCTTCGGCAATCTGCAGGGTTGTCCACAAGGCAGACATCAATCAAGGCAGGGTGTCTTACGCTATCGCGGATAAGTGGCATCTGATGGTTCAGTAGAGCCCAGTATTACTGATTGCATCCAAGAGAAGAATACAGGGGGCTTCTCTCAAGATCCTGAAGTTAAAATTATTGTCTTTTTGTGAACTCTGTACGAATGAAAATGGAGTTCACATTTAGGAAGGTCCTATTATTTTCACTGTTCTCCCTAGTTCTGTTTGGATATGCTACATCAGAGTTGGAAAATGAAGTTTCACAAAAGCTGAGATCTCCTCCACACAAAAATGTGAGAAGTAATGTTATTGATGGCACTGGTCAGGAGAGTTCCTTAAATTTTGAGGTTTCTAAAAATGGACTGGGTGAGGCGAAGAGCGCAAACAGCAAAGTCTCAGTCTACTGTTGCGTTATTTACGTTGGCAATGGCTGCTGCTACAGGTTTAGGTGCGGTCCCATTCTTCTTTGTTGAGCTTGATCCACAATGGGCGGGATTATGCAATGGTATGGCAGCTGGTGTAATGTTGGCTGCAAGCTTCGATCTTATACAGGAAGGGCAAGGTCATGGTGCTGGGAACTGGGTCGTTCATGGGCTTTTAGCTGGGGGCCTTTTTATTTGGCTGTGCAAGCAGGTATTGAATCATCTCCCTTATTTTCATCTATCTTTTATGTTTTTGCCATTTTTGTACTTGTAGTTGCTTCTTCCCTTTCTAGAAATTTGCTTCCTGTTCCATAGAATACACATTTTGATTGCATTTGGCGGAGAGGTTAGGCCTGTTCTATTTGCAGTGTTAACGTGTGTGATTACTTTCTGAACCAATAATCTATAAAGGTCGTACCCAGTGCACAAGGCTCCCGCTTTACGCAGGGTCTGGGAGAGGTGAATGTCGGCTAGCCTTACCCCCATTTATGGAGAGGCTGCTCCCAAGTCTCGAACCCGAGACCTACTGCTCATGGGCGTGAACCAATAATCTATAAAGTTGAAAAAATAAATTATAGACTTCTTCACTGTTCTTTCAAAAAAGAAAGCTTTTATGGTGTGTAATACGATATTTCAAGAAACCTGATTTGCATATGCATAAGTTGTCCTCATAGTCCATAAGCATCCCTTTCAATTATTCAGTTTTATCATTTCATGAGGGAGGACATGGATGGTAAGATGTTTTCCTGGCTTTTAATTTTCAGATTTTATCAACTAACAAATACTGTAGTTGTACAATATCTCATTGAAAAATGTTTGCTTGTGCATAATTGTGGGCTTATCTTTTACATAATGCTAGAATGCATCAAGCTCTCATTATGTCTTACATCGTTATATATATCTGGTTTCAGTTTCTTGAACACTATGGAGAGGTTAGTATGTTAGACATCAAAGGTGCAGATGCAACTAAAGTCGTTCTTGTGATTGGAATAATGACTCTTCATTCGTTCGGAGAGGGTTCTGGTGTTGGGGTTTCCTTTGCTGGCTCAAAGGGTTTCTCTCAGGGACTTTTGGTAACTTTGGCTATTGCTGTACACAACATACCAGAAGGCTTAGCTGTGAGTATGGTGCTTGCATCCAGGGGTGTTTCTCCGCAAAATGCCATGTTATGGAGCGTGATTACATCATTACCACAGGTAATTATTTAGTTTTTAAAATTCATGGGATTTGAGAATATGTAACCAATTCTAGTTGATTTGCTCGTTGAGCCTTTTAACTTAATGGTCTCCTGCATATATTGCTGTTGCAGCCCCTTGTAGCAGTTCCTTCTTTCATCTGCGCTGATGCATTTAGCAAGTTTCTTCCTTTCTGTACGGGCTTTGCTGCTGGATGTATGATCTGGATGGTTGTTGCTGAGGTGCTTCCTGATGCATTTAAGGTAAGGTTCGTGTGGGACTTCTTCATGCTTCTTGTTTCTTCACATGCTTAAGTCATTTGCAGTAGGCTTTTAGATCCTTGTCAATTTACATTATCAAATGTCTCCTCAATGTTCTGTGTTCCATTTTCAATAACTTCTTTTGCATTTTGGTTGTAGGAAGCCTCTCCATCGCAGGTTGCATCAGCAGCCACTCTCTCTGTAGCATTCATGGAAGCTCTTAGCACTCTTTTTCAGAATTTCACCCATGATTACAAGTGAGTCAAATTTAATGTTGAAAATTGTGTCACTACGCAAATTTTTGTAGTTTATACTGTTTGGTGACCTCCTTTTGACACGTTTTCTTGACATATAGAATCTACATTTGCCCCACCCTTGGGAATACGCTTATATTTTACAATTTACATTGTTACAGCTCAGAGGATGCTTCTGGCTTCTTTGTCTCATTACTTTTTGGTCTTGGACCATTACTCGGTGGCACTGTTCTTGTTGCATTTGCTTTAGCTTTTCATCTTCAGCATGCTCTTCTCATGGGTGCAGCATCTGGCATTGCCTTTGTTCTTGGTGCCTGGAGACCATTGCAGCTACTTTTTTCGTTAAAGATGGGATTTCTATCTACTATATTTCTGCTTGCAATGGGAGCTGGATCCGTCCATATTTTGAGCTCCAGTATTTTGAAGCTCGCAGGTCGCAAAAAAACTTCAGTTCAAAACTTACCCACAGCAAATGGTTTTCCAGTAAGCATTCACACCCTCCAGGCATTCTTGTCATGTGGAGCTGTTGCCTTCCATGCTTTGGCTGAAGGGCTTGCACTAGGGGTTGCTGCACCAAAAGCTTATGGACTTGGTCGGCACATGGTCCTTCCTGTCTCCCTACATGGACTCCCTCGAGGTGCAGCTGTGGCTAGCTGCATCTTTGGGGCTACTGATAACTGGCATGCGGCCCTTGTGGCGGCTGCTTTAATTGGATTTGTGGGTCCAATATCAGCAATAGGAGCAATACTTGCAGGAATTGACTATAGCGGATTAGACCATGTGATGGTTTTTGCTTGTGGGGGACTGCTCCCAAGTTTTGGAAATGTAGTAAAGAGAGCAGTGAAGTTGGATGTGCGGAAAAGTAGCTGCGGGATTTTGATTGGTGTGGCATTTGCAACTCTGTGCTTGACATGCACAAAGTTGGTGTGCTTGCACACACCTTACTGTAATTCTGCACCGGAGGCTGTTAGATGAGATTCTCTAGTGCTGCAGCTGGTCAATGTAATTGCTTAGGTGCCTTTGCATGGTTGTGAGGGGTTGAAGTACAAGGCATATAAGTTTGGCACCTGTGCCCCGGAAAGTATACCGCTGAAAAATCGAAGAGATGCTGCGAGGACGGAGGAGCAACATTAGAGGCAGGTTTTAGAGGAGGTTGTAACGTCTTTTTCGTGATAAACTATGTTCATTTATATTGCAGAAAAGAATGAGGAACTGGATTGATCCCTTTGACCCTGAAATTTTACATGGAACGACAGAAAAAAGCCTGATATAGGGTGTTAGAGACAACTGCTGTTGTGTCGATAGCTCATTTTTTATCGTGCGATATTCTAAAAAACGAGAGATTCAAACTACAGTGCAAGGGGACGGGCACGCTGTGTGGATTGCTCCCGACTTAAGTACCAAGGAAGCAAATCTTACTACTAGTTAGGTGAAGTGACAATGTCAAGTCGACCTACCACATTCAGAAGGAAAAGAAAAGTCATGTTTTCTTAGGCCGCCATCAATTTGAAATCTTGATTAGTCGACAAATCTATGCTTATTCAAGAACACTTTCATTTCATGCAAGCATTTTGTCTCTAATGTACTAAGAAAATCCAAAATCCATCCATTTTCTTCTTAGAACTCAAATTCAACAACCCAAATGTGCGATTTAACGCTCGCAGAACAAGGTGGACGTGAGTTAGACAAGTTGGCCAGGCAACATGCACACCCCCTTCCCCTCGCAGTCAAGTTCTGTTTCTCCTACGACGAACAAGAACTGCAAACCTGAATTCTTAAACGTGCTTAAAAGAAGATGAAAAAACCATCCCTTTTTTATATTTGGAATTTCGCAAGTTAGGTCATTCGGCTAAGGCAGTGTGTATGCCACCTAAGTTTGTATCCGCTCTCAAAACCACATTCACATTCAAATCGGCTCTCGCCTGACAGATTATAGTAGTTTAGAATATAGTTCGACGAAAAAGAATTGCAAATCGGAAAATCTCCAAAGGGATTGCCAACATAATATTAAAAAGCTCCTGTAATTCGCAAACGCATTCAAGTTGTGAGGCAGCACTTGCATTTCCAAGTGCCTGAAATTCCATCAAACCTAGAATTTTATTTTTGCTACAAAAAACCTAAACACCGCGCCACCCAAGTTGTTGCAGTTCAAAGTTATGAACAAAAATGATAACACGTAACAAAAACAAGAAGAAAACCAAATCCTCATTTGTTAGTCGACTGATTGCTCTGCACATCCTCACTCTCCACCACCACCAATTTCTCTTTCTCTGAAGCCGATCCCACCTCCCCTTCCGCCGGTTTCGACTCCGCAATGCTCTGCGAGCCGGTCAACCTCGCCAGCACAACAAACGACATTCCACCCAGCACATTGTTCAAACACCTCAGAACCACCACAGACGATTTGAATGCCAGCGGAGGAAGCCCCTTCGCCAGCAAAAACTCCGCCCCGTTCAGCGTTTGGTACCTCAAATTGCTGCTAAGACCCATGTGAGCTGCCCAAGTGAGCGCATTGAGCAAGGTTGGCGGCGGCTTATTTGGGGTCTCGAAATTTGGGTCCATTTTTTTCCTCAATTTGATCAACCCGTTCGACAATGCGGTTCCGGCTAGCCCGGCGACGAACCCAACGGCGGCAAAGACTGTGCCTTTGTACACCAAAGTCCCCAATCGATTCACCAATCCATAGGAACCCGGTTCGAACATGTGGCTGGCCGGGCAGCCGGCGAAGATCGACGGAAGAGTGGCGGCGGAGGCGGACAGAGTGGGGGCTAACAAATACATGAGCGTGAAATTGAGTATGCATCCGACGACGAGAGTCGAGAAGACGAAGTCGAGCTCGTTGAGGCCGAAATTGGGGCGGGAAGCCATGTCGCCGAGGACGCAGGAGCTGACTCCGACCACCTCCTCCATCAGAACCTTGAAGGGGAACTGCGGATCGGCGGCGACTCGGGATCTCCATCCATTGAGAAACATAACCAGAACTCCGAATCCCGAAACCGACGACGACGAAGACGACGAGTCATCGGAACTCCCATCTCCGCCCCGGCTCCACCCCCCGCTGTTTCCTCCCGCTCCTGCGCCGCCGCCGCCATTTCCGCCGGAAAACGAAAGCTCTGGCTTTTGGACCCAGATGGGCTTTGGGACGAAAAAGAGAGGGCGATTCTGGGTTTTGGAGTAGGGGAAGGAGATTGAAGAATTAGGATTGGCGGAGAAACGGCGGTTATCGGAGGTAGTCGAGCAGTGTTTAGCTACAGTAGAGCAACGAAGCTGAGCGGCGGCTGCCATGTTTGATCTGAATCCAAAATCTCAACCAACTGAATGATCAGTGATGTAATGAGAAAACCCCAAGAGGAAAATTACAAAAAGGAATATTGAGGGCGGCGCGTCCCTGTCCTCCGAAATCGTAAACCCTAAGAAATTACAGAGAAACAGGGAGAGAGTGAGGGGAGTATTTAGTGTTCCGCTGCGGCGCCGAGCGTGTGAATTTCCATTTCAGGACCGCACGTGGGATTCTGACACGTGTCGTGGTTGAGCTCGGACGCAATTGCGGAATCTGGTAAATGGTATTTGGGGACGCGAATCTAGTTGGCGGATCTTTGGACTTGGTTGGTGAAAAAGGGTGTTTTTGGTAAGGGAAATACTAAAAAGGAATGTGATATCCACACATATGTTTTTTACTTCTCCTACACATTTTTTGGTTTTTGACCGTCGGATTAGATGAATTGAAGAAAATCAACGGACAGAATTTAACAAGAGATGTGTGGATAGCACACCTCTACTAAAAAAGCTAAAATTTTAAATCAACTGATGTGATTTGTTGACACAACGATAATCCAAAAGGAGTCTTTGGGCTCGTTCTCTCCCTCTTCCTACTAAGAACACAACGATAATAGAATGACGATTAGACTTGTTATGGTCTAACGATCTATGATACATCTCATTCGTTGACACTTGATTATTCATTTGTAACTCACGTAACAATGTTAATTTTTCAATTTTTCTCCTCAATAAAAAAAATTAAAAAATAAAAAAGAAAAAGATACGTGCCACTAAAGTAGGTGAGAGAGTTTTGGGTGCAACTCTTTCATATATGGCTTCAAACCAAAGAAAATTTTGTGTTGTCAAATTGCACAGAAAAACTTTATGGTCATGTCCAGTCTAATCGTAGCTACTAAACTATGAAACTTTATAGTAGAATTAAATCTTCGGCAAAGTAACTCGATATTGTCTTTATAGTCAGGTAACTCTTACAAAATTATGAGATTCCTTTTATTTTAGACTCAGTTGATCCAACATTAGTCCCGTCCAATATATATTGTTTCCAACTTTCCATCTCAATTGATAGATTGTAAATTTCTTATGTTACTTGCAAGTGGCCCTTTACCACATTGATAGAAATATGTTGAACCCTTGCATAATGACGTGAGTTCAAACCCCGTCGGTGACTAATTTAACAAAATCTATCATTTGACATAAAAAAAATAAATAAAAATTCTCTTGTAAATTTCCAACTTTCTAGCATGACACCTACTTTATGCTAGAAAAGTTGGAAGAACAATAAAACCAGACTAGAACTGGCTGAGAAATCATAGATCGCTGGACCAGAAACTGATTCAATTAGGGAGTGGGCTCTCTCAAATTTTTGCCCATTCTCTTAGGAAGTACTTTGAATTGTTATCACCGTTACTAAATGTTAAGAGCTCGTTTGAAAATATTTTTAAAATGGTTAAGGCTTGTTTTATTAACACTTCACATTTTGTTAATTACACCGCACATACTTAATACTCCCTACTCGTGGAAGAAAATTTAAAATCAATAGAAAATCATGTTTTGCCATAAAATGTGTGCGCGTGTGTGGCACATACAGATTCTATAAGGATCCACCAAATCTAAAAATAACAGAGATCCACCAAATCTACGTAGTACCCAATTTACAAAAATCCACCAAATCTAATAATAACAAATAAAAATAAATACAACTAATAAACTTTGATTATAAAATCATATAGAATAACATGAGAAAGTTATTAAGGTCCACCATATCTTAATGCGAAAGCGATTGTATTTTGGCAGGACTACCACTGCCGAAGACACTGGCGGATCCATTAAGGGGCATTGGGGGTCAGCTGACTCTCCGAATTTTGATGAACGTCTATAGACACTTTAAGTGCTGACCTTCCGAACTTCGGTGAATGTACATGGATACCTTGAGTGTTGCCCTTTTGAAGATTAGAGTTGGCTTCATACTTGCCCTCCAACCGACTTCAGGCCTACCAAAATCTAATGAATGTCCATGAATACCTTGGATGCTGCCCTTTGCTTACATTAACATGTCTGTAGTATGCATTTTCAAATGATTTTAGACCTACCAAGACTCGATGAAATGATAATATGCATGCTATTTCAAGTATAAAAAAATTTTCGCGCTGCGCACGCTATTCTTACTGACTTCCATAATATTATTTCCTGGATCCACCACTGCCCGAAGATAACGCTTCTTGTCTCGGTTATCTCAGGTACCAAGAAGAGTTTCAGCCTGCAAAAACAACCAAACCCCATTATAAATCAAGCAAGCATCAGCCTGCAAAAACAACCAAACCTCATTATAAGTCAAGCAAGTGATCTCCATCAAGAATATGATCAAATATCAACATCATGCAATATCCAGATGCAGAAATGGAGTAACAAAATGCATGAAAATTCACATTTCATTGTATAGTTCCTTCAACTAACACCTTTAGCTGCCAATTTAAAATGACACTGCAATTTAATGTAGGAAAACAAGACTGATCCTAGCCTATTATCCAACGATCAACAAGGGTGCAAAAACAAATTTACAAATATGCAGCACTATTTAAGTGTTCTCACAATGCGTAATGGTTCTCTAGTTCTTAAGCGTGCATTTGGACGAGCAAGCTTGGATTCAAACGGAGTCCTCGGTCTTACTTCAGGAAACTCTTCCTGTTCCTAACACTGTCTTGCTCAGCAAAATCATTGTTTTTTTTGCGTTCAATCATGAGTCGTCATACTGCTAGCGATGAGAGACCAGTCACATTAATCACTAAATAGAATTAACCAACGAAATCCAAAACATTACCTACATCAAACAAGCTATATACTTCAACAATGGCAAAACAATGCAGTGTGCAAAAGACAACTATGAATATCATCAAAATCAAATTTTCCACGAGATGCGATTTCCATTTGGAGATTACAATAAAGCAAGAACATTTAGGAAACAGAAAGCAAATAAACAAATGGGATTGTGGAAACAGTGATAGAAAAATTTAATTAATTTTTATTACCATCATGAGGAGCTTGGCCAAGAGCGCAAGCCAACAGCGGTGAGAATCTGGGGCAAAGTGGCCGTGTCAAGGTAGGTCATGACATCAAAACTTTCTGCTTAGTGATAACATTTGGAATACATGATATAGATAATTGGTAGAGACATCATTTCATATGCATTATACTTTGTTCTCAAAGGCCCACGGGTAACTTGCATGCCTCCAATGTATGGAGCAGCTGATCTTGGACGTCCTGTAAGTAAACAAATGTCATGTGTAATGTGTTTGTTTGCTACAGAAGGGAGAAAATAATTCAATCAAATGGAGAGAGAGAGAGAGAGAGAGAGAGAGAGATTAGTGACATGGAAACCAGAGAGCAGCAAACCCAAGTGATGCTGAAATACTGAAAGGTTGGCCACCAGAGAGCAAAGAGGTCATGCCATTGAATGAAGAACCAAAGAGAGAAGAGACAATAAAGAAAAAATAGGGGATTTGCTTAAATGGAGGAAACAAGATTGCATTACAAAGAAAGGCGAATATCCTTTTATCAATGCACACAATGAAGACAGATACCGAAGTATACAAATATTTGTTACCGGCTTTTAATTGCGCAAAATAATTCTTGGTATTATTTTGACAAAGCGCAAAATATTTGTTACCGGCTTTTTCTTGACATTACTTTGTCAGAGAAATCGATCAATTATTGGGCCTATACAAGATGATCAAATATGATATATAGCTCCTTCATGTAAATGGTAAAAGTCTCTTCATCTCCTCCGTTCGAATTTTTGTCCGCACCTACTGTTCGGACTGTCTGTCCGCACCTTAGAGCAAGTCCATCCCTAAAGACTTTGCTCCAGCACCCAGTCCATTTATCCACTCAAGTGAATAGTGATAGACTATAATGAACAGTAATAGACCAATGCATCTCCACCCCTAAAACTAAATAGCCTAGTCAATTTTATTAAAATATTATTAATTTTTATTATAAAATAATAATTTGGTATTTTACTTTCTGACTTCTTCCTTTCTTCTTCTTCTGGAAATGGACCTCCTCCTCCCCACACCAACGCTCCCGCACCACACCATTCTAGAAATTTTTTATGGTGTAAAATGACGAGGCTGCCCATCTCATCTTCAGATCCCACGGTTTGGATGATGAGTTAGAGGGGTAGAATCGTCTTTTTATGAAGAAGGTTTCAGATTGGGGTTAGTTCCTTCCCCTGTCACTTCGTTCTTTCTTCGGCGCAGGCAAAGCCATGCGGATTCTGGCATGGCAGAGTGGAAGGGAGACAGTGAGAGAAAGACAGTGAGAGAAAGAGAGAGTGGTTGTCCGAATAACAGGGAGAGAAACAGAGAGGGATTGTGATGGTGAACAGAGTCGATCCTGGTCTCCTCGTCGTTGTCTCGCCGGAGCTCGCAAGGGGAAGGGGGATATGGTGTTGAATATATGGATTTATCAGGGGAAGGGGGTTGATGGGGTAGCCATGACGTCAACATGGCGTCAAATGACCGTCTCCTTCCTCTGTCGATTTTAGGCCGGCCTGTGGACTGGCTTGGGCTGGGTGCCAGTCTATTCCATGGGCTGGAGTGAATTGGTTGAGTCCCAGCTTGTTTTTTCCACTGAGTGCCGGGCTATTCCACCTCCGGTGGAACTGCTCTTAGAAACACCCATATTATAATTATTTCAACCCTAATGGGTCACACCTAACGGGTTATCAACCTTTCACTACATGCCTGTATACTACTAATACTTATTGGTGATATAGCATACATTTTAACTAGTGCAAGCACTTATTGTGATCATAACATACATTTTAACTAGTGTAAGCTGAAAATGGTAACCATACAGTAATCGTAGTTAATATAAGCTAAAATATAATCATGCACTGGCCATAGCTAGTATAAGCTGAAAATATAATATTTTTACCCCTAAATGTAACAGAAATCATTTTTACTTAAGCATATGCTTAATATTTGATAAAAGAAAATCTTTTTGAAATAAATGTCTACTCACATCTCCGCTAGCTTTCCCTTGAGATGCCTTGTCTCCTACGTTCAAGGAGGTTCAACGTGATAATTTTAGAGTAAATTGTAGTTATGGTCATTTAATTTTAACTTAATTAGAGTAATGATCCCTTAACAAAAATCTATTACCATTAGTCCCTCAACTTTAATTCAACTGGAGAAATTGTCCCTTAACTTTAACCCAAATGTAGCAATGGTTCTTCCAACATAACTCGTTTTAACAAAAAATTTGACGTAGTTGACGAAAAAGACCATAATCACACACTTTGATGAGTTGAGGGATCCTAATTATATAAATGGTTATTCTAACATAACTTATTTTGACAAAATTTTGACGAAATTGATGAAAATGACTATAGCTACACATTTTGATAAGTTGAGGGATCAATGATAATGAATTTTTAGTTGAGGGACCATTGCTCCAATTTGATTAAAGTTGATAGACCATTGCTACAATTTACTCGATAATGTTATATTACGTGGCAAAAGTAAAGTTCATTTTACTTATTTTAGTCCAGACCGACTCACTCCACTCTGTGTGTGTCTCACTCTGAAGTTCTTCAACGTTTTCGCCCGAATTGCTAAAAAATTCCAGCTCTCAAACATCTCAGATCCCTAACTCACCCTTCTGGCATCGACGCCCCAAAGGTATATTCCTCTCATCACTTTCAGAATCCAGTATATATTTGCCAATGGAAATTTGTAATTTTGATTGTTCTCTGGTGGTGGTTTTGTTCATGAATAAAGCACTGGGTTTTCGCTATATTTTGTTTTCGAGAAGTTGATGGTTTTGGTTATGCTCTTTTTTTCCCTTTTTTCTCAATTCTCAGTGAGTGGAACTTTTGTATGCAATTGCTTATATAATTCCTTTTGGGGGTCTATCAATTTTATGCTCTGTTTGGTTGTTTAACTACGGATTAATACAAGATGAGAAAGTCAGAATTTTTTTCCTTATTATTGAATTGTGTATATAATTCGGAGTGCGAAAATTTCAAAATATTCAGCAAGTGAGATTTTTCATTCTTGCATGACGATTGCTTCTTTGATTTTACAGTGAAGTGATAAATATTACTTTTTTGATGTTGCCTTTTGCTCCCATGGAATGAATAAGAGTTAATTAGTATGACCGTCATACAACTGATATATGCTTACTTTGATTTTGGTTGGATCATTTCATGGTTGACTCAATTCTCATGGCTTCGTGGTTTGGTTGAATACATTGTTGCCTCATCGTGCTGCCTCCTCGGTTGTATTGGTTGCTTCGAAGATTTCCTACAATTTCAACAACTGCAGTTGGAGGAAACTACGTAATAAAATGAGTAGTGATCCTAGTGAATGGTGTTCTTTGTTACTCTATTTCCATGTAAACAATACAAGTTCTTTATTCCCCATATTCTATAAAAAATTTAGTTTAATGAAATGTAATTAGCTTTTTCAACACACTATGAATGTAACCTTTTGAATTTTGGGTAATTAATAAGACACAATGATCATATTCGTTTTCTCTTTAAAATCCGCCCTTTTGATTGTACATGGGCTCTTGATGTAAAGTAAATAGAACGTAAATGCAGACCGACATACTTATTTTACCATGTCTGGTTAGTTTTTGAATTATTTTGGAGATAGCTGTGTTGATTTGCAGTTTTGTGGGATTTACCGAAGCAAAATTTGCATTATCCAAATTGATGTATTTGAGAATGCAATTGTGTTGCTGCTGGCTTTTGAGTATCAATTCATTGCTAGGTGTGCATTATCCAAATTGATGTATTTGAGAATGCAATTATGTTTTCCAGATTTTGTATTTTTCTGTGGAAATGATTCATAGCTGTTGTGGATTACGGTTTCAAAACCACAGCAGAGCGTGGACGGTTTTTCTAGTACTATACTATATTGAACTCCTTTGTGTAACATATAATTATGGGTAATGCTATTTACACATCACTTTTTACCTTTTATACTGTACAGTCTTGTTAACTTCCGTTCATTGACCTTTTTCAATTCATTCGATCCTTTATCAATTCGTTGCACTTAAATGTCCCATGGATTCTACAATTTCCTATGTGCTATTTTAATTCTCAAGCGAGGTACAAATTCTTTGCTTGAGGAAGGATGCATTTTGTTAATTTGATACCATATTTGAACAATTTTTTGCGTCTTTTGTGGTGTTTACTTCAATTTTCATTTGGCACCTGTGATTATTTTAATACTCATCATCTGTAGCTTTGATTGTATTGTATCTTTTAATTAAGGGAACTTTAACGAAAAGCACCTGGTACTGTTCACTTTAACGAAAAACCACATTTTTACACTAAAAAGTCAATCCTGGTACTATTCACTTTACCCTTTATTTTGTCCTTATCATTAAAACTCAAAGTTTTCAAGCCCTTTTCATTAGTTTTCCTTTTAATTAAAAGTTTTCTTTATTATTCCTCACTCTGATAGGAGACACAATCCGAAGCTGGTGCACAAGCTGATGGTGACCCTGAACTTTTGGATGACTCTTGAGTTTTACCAGCAGTTATTGAAAGAATTTTTTGGGACAATTGACCCAGCATCTTGTGGTAAAACTATTAGGGCATCGCATACGTAATACATGATTGCATTTGAATGTGATACGGTTTATCCAAATCTATAAGCGTTCCAGTAAATCAAAACACAATCAGATTGCATTTAAAAATTGTGGCCTTTGAATTTGTTTAAGATTTTATATTCCCAAGTGATGCCGGATATCCTTGTTCATTTTCTGTTTTGGATCTGTATCTGCAGCTATTGTCTTCGTTACAGTGGGCTTGGAACCTAGTCAATCCTGAACTTCTATTATTCAAGTTTTTGTAACTTTAAAAATGGAACGCGCTATCGTAGTTATTCGTGCTAACAATTAAGACCTATATTGTCAGCATATTGTTATTGATTCTGATTTTGCACTATTTGATTATCCTCAAAGACAGCCTTTTATTCTTTGAAAAAGTGGCATACGAAGAAGAGGAAGATTGTTGACAGAAGAGCCTCTAAGAGTCGCAAGATATGGTATAAATAGATATTCGGTTCCTATGTGAAACTGCTATGATTTTGTTTTGGAATATCTTGGAGCATCTGTTGAGCAAACTAGGCCAGATTGTTGAAGGCTTGTTGTATTATGCTTTTGTAGGTACAATGTTCACGAGAAGATAGTAAATTTCATGGCCCCCCAGAGACTAGGGCCGTTCCTCCGATGCTTCCTGACCTCAATAATTTGTTCGGGTTGAAGCAAAAACCAGCTTCCGTGGTGTAGGTAAGGCTAATATTTGTTGTACTGATATTTATGTAATTTACACAATTTTGTTGCAAATGACAATTCAGATCTGTACTTTGACACATAAGCAAAGCGGATGTTCTTGCTTTCCCCCGTGCCGAAATCTTGTGTTTGAAGGCAGAAAACATCTTGAGGACAAGGTGATAATGCAGAGATGTCTATATCTAGTAAAATAAAAAACTCGTGGAGGGCTTTTGGACTACTGTCGCTTCTTTTTTCGAGAGATGGAGGGCGGAACGATTAGAGTTAGCGTGAGAAGGAAGATGGCAGCAGTGACTAGCCCCCTCCATCCTCTCAGATGGCAGTTATTGCCTCTGGCACTCGCTGCTGCAATTTTGTGATCAAGATCGTTCTGTTGCTCTTCTTCTTTGTCTGAAAAACATACAAATAGCAGAAAATTTAGAGAAAACTTAAATGAAATGAATACGAGCGGACCCCCAAGTGCTTTAATGGAGCATAATTTACCTGAGTCCATGATGAGGGTATTCAACCATTTCGGCCTACATAAGTCAACATTTTTCATTTCTGCTTCCTCGAACCAGCAAAAGTCGTATAGTCCTGAAATGTGTTCCAGCGGTGACAAATCTCCACCGATGACAAATGGATCATTAGGATCTGGAGTGGTGTTGTGTTGGGTACTCATCTGGTCTTGGTGCTCTTGCACAAGCTCAACCCCAAACTCCTTTACCTGAATATGCTCATCAGGTCTCCTCGTCATTACGGAAACAACCACTTCATCTCCACATTCTAATATTATTGTTTCATTGTCCATTTTCCAATGGCTCAACCATGTCACATCTTCTCCCCAACCAGGACCACTGAACCGTGGGCCATAGGTCCACTTCATACCCTTGCTCTTGTTGCTCACTTCAATACTCATAAATGGATCATTCCCCGAATAACTCATATTGTTCTCGTTTGCATAGGTAGCAAAGATATTCAAGCCCCGAATTTTATGATTTGAAAGAGAAGGCACAATAAAAGATATTGAGGACCCTGTACTTCTATAGCTGAACCGGCCAGGAACCTCATTCCCAGAAAAGAATGTGCTATATATACCATGTCGATCAAGTCCCTGTATGCATGACACGGAAACGACTATATTAGTCAACTCTTTCTGATGAGAGAGAGAGAGAGAGAGAGAGAGAGAGAAAGAGAGAGAGAGAGAGGCACCTGAACGGGACTCCAAACCCCATCAACTTCTTCAAAATTTTGCAAGCTGAAAAGTTTCCTCATCTCCAAGTTGTGCAAACTGAAAAGTTTCCTCATTTCCACGTCAACTCTTTCAATTTGTTCTAAGTTGTCATAGTACTCGACCTCAAGTACATTGCGGTTCTCACCCATATAGGTCAACGCTCTCAACCCATAGGATTGATAGGTTATTTGTTTTAGTGATATGCAACCATATACATCCATGTGTGTTATTTTTGGCAACCCCACAAGTGATTCGAGCCTCTCACAGTTATCAAAAGAGAGTAACCAGAGCTTCGTCAAACCTTTGATGAAAACAGGTAGGCTAGAAATTGGATTATCATCTAAATATAGTACTTGCAATGAGGATAGATTACTTAAATCCGTAGCAAAGGCATCATCAGAAAGATTGCAGCTACGAAGACTTAACTCTACTAAAGAACATGGCAAATAAGTCAAGATACTTGAACTTCTTCCAGGCCATAATTCACTTCTGGGAATTCCATCTGTTTCGAGCATTTTTAAAGATTCCATCTTCTTCGTCATCTCAACAAGATTTGAGCACCCAGATAAAATGAGAGTCTCAAGTGATTTTAGCATGCACATGTTCTTTGGAAGCATCCTAAGGTTCTTGCAATTCTTCAGATTCAAGTACACAAGTCTCTCTAGGTTTCCAATGGATTCATGAACATCAAGCAGGCTTCCACAATCTTCAAGAATCAATTCCTCTAGATTGGGGCAGTATGAGAAGTCCATGGTTTGACTAAGGCCATGAGAATGGCTCACATCAAGGATCTTCAATGATGGAAGAAACTGCAAGAAAAAAATTAATTCTCACATATGCAATTAGTCAACGAATCAAAACTTAAAAAAGCAAAAGAAGGAAAAGGAATTGAGATGCACAGAGTAACATACTTTTGTTCCTTTGTAGACTTCTCTCAAGCTACTATATTGCATTTCAAGAACAATTAGACACTCCAAAGGAAAATCAATTGGTATAGAATCCAAAGGAAATTCAAGCCAACACAACCATCTTAATCTTGTAGGGAAATCTGCATAACATCCCTCCAGCCGTACGCTTCTAAGATGGAGTAGTCGCAATTTGTGCATCCTTTCAAATGCATTGGTTTCCAAGACAGTCACATTTGTGTTTATTGGACTGTTTGCAGGATGCCTATGCATATCCAAGACAAGACCTTGGATTGTTTGGGTACCCTAAAGAAAAAATAAAGGGAACAATTTTAATATGGATATTTTTCAAAAGAAGAGAAAAACATATATAGACATAAAAAGCATGTTTCTTACCGTCTTTTCCCTCAATACTTCGAAAGAATCCTTATGGCGCCATAGTCTACTACGTTTCTCAGGCTCTTCTGATTCTAGGCGAACTATTTCTCTTCCCATATCACGAATCAGATCGTGCATTTTCACCTTGTCGGCTTCAATTTTCACCAAGGATCTATCAATGAGATTTTGAATGCCAACATTTGTAAAGAAATCACATCCATCTAGTATTCTAACAATGTAGTTTTTGTCCCTTCCTACTAGGAAACAAGCAATGTGGAGGAATAATTGCCGGTCATGGTTATCTTGTAAACTATCATAGCTTATTCTCAGTTTATTCATGATTTCATCATTAGGAATAACTTTTAGCTTCTCCAATGCACTTTTCCACACACCCACACTTTCACCTAACAGAGAAGAACCCAAAACTTGAAGAGCTAATGGAAGTCCTCCACAATGTTGCACTAGCTCTTTTGAATATTCCATGTAACCTTCACGGGGATGGTCCTGGCCAAAAGCATGCCAGCAGAAGAGCTCTAATGATTCATCGTAACCCAAAGTTCCAACTTCATGCACCATAGTAACTTGAAGTGCCTTTAGCAACCTTTCACGCCTTGTTGTTATGATTATTTTACTTCCGGGATAAAACCGATCTTTCATCCGTAGTAATGCATCTAATTGGTCCATACGGTCTACATCATCAAGAACAAGAAGAACTCTTCTAGAGCATATGGCTCTTTCAATCTTACTTATTCCTTCGCTGACGTTGTGCACTTTCTCCTTTTTCCCCTTCAAAATATCATAAAGAACTTGCATTTGTATTTGAACTAACCCATTCGGTTGATTTGCCGTTTCTCTGATATTTTCAACAAAGCTGCTTCCTTCAAAACTTGTGAAATTTGAATTGTATACACATTTAGCAATGGTTGTCTTCCCTATTCCAGACATCCCATACACAGTAACTATACCAACATCATCAGATCCATCTTGTAACCATAGATTGATGCGTTTGACTCGAGATTGGATTCCGATCAAGTTGGATTGAACACTCAAGGGTGTGCGAATTAGCTTGTCACCAATCACCTTAACAATTTTTGTGATAAACTTTGACTCGTACCTAAGAATTTGCAAACAAAATAAAATATAAATCAAACGTGCTGTGTACCTAAGAAAGTTATATAGGTACGAACAACTGGAGGGAAGCTAAACTTATACATTATTTTGATAGCATACTTAGGTTAAAAATTAAAATGAAACTTTGTTGACAACATAAAACAAGGGAAAATGAAATTATGAAAGTAATTATTTGCATTTTTTGTAAAAGAAGTATAGTATACACGTGTGTCAAGTCTAGATAACCAAACTAATTTAAGCTGAGGAGGAGATTTGAACTCTGACAACTTTAGGACACATGCGTTTAGAGATAAGAACAAATTGTTCATGTGAAAAAAGAAAGCAAAACAAATTGTTGGTTAAAAAAAACAAATTACCCTTCCAATATTGACACTAGAAAGATAAAAGAGAGAAAACGAAAGTTACCCATCAGCTTCATTTGGTAAGACCATCCCTGCTAGATCAGCAACCTCTGCAAGAGCCTTCCTCCATCGCTTCACCGTATTCGGCAACTGAGTTTTCTCGTGTCTAGCAAATGCTTTTCCAATGCTTCCCGTCTGCTTCCTCACATGGGATGGATCGATATCGTAGAAGACTGGTAATACTACATGATCCGAGGTAGTCCTCTTGCGTTCAAGGATCATGACAAGCTCATCAAGGCACCATTTGGATGACGCGTAATATTTCGAAAACACGACAACAGATGTTCGTGACAGCCGGATTGCTTTCTGTAGTCCTGGCTTGATATCTTCTCCTCTCTCAAGCTCGTCGTTATCTCGAAACGTTAGATATCCTGCGTTGTTCAAGGCTGTGTATAGGTGGTCGGTAAAATTCCTGCGAGTGTCTTCGCCTCTGAAACTCAAGAAAACATCGTAACGGTAACCCCGACGAGTGTTGGAATCAGAGGATGTTCCTTGAGCTGCTCTCACAAGAGCCATGGTTTACGATCGATGAACAAACAAAGGGTTTGCTCTTTGTCCTTGCAGGGGAAAAATTTAATGCTTTAATTAATTGGGTCATTCCTATCTACTTCCTGGAAGTATTACAAACAAATATAATTGGTCGTTTTGGTCAAGCAAATGAAAACACGTCTTGTCTTTTAATATAATTGAAGACAAAGACACACTATACAAGTTAATTATTTGTGTTGTCTTTTATCTATTGCTTACTAAAAAAGTAGGAAATTAGAACCGATGTGTTTACATTAAGAAACAAAAAAACCGAGCGGTGTTATAAATAGATAAAAGTGAGAGGGAGTAACCTTTGTTAGAGATAGAAGTGAATGAGATGCAAGGTATCATACAAATGATGCAGGTAAAGAGAGGAGAGAGATATTAGTGTTATTGCTTTCACTCTTGATCTTGTGTTTTGTTTGATTATACATTGCATGCGCTTTATATAGAGCCATTTATGTGCAGAAGTCTATAAGACAAATTAAGGCATGTTGAAAACCATGCCATACAAATTAAAAACCATGTCATCCAACAATAACAAAATCTGAAAATATCACTACTTTTAGTCCTTACTTTTTTACTTTTGACTAAACCATGTGGCATTCAATTCCCATTGCTTTTACACCCCTTGGATGCCCATCCACATATTAACATCAATTATCTCCTTGAAACCTTACTAGGAAAACCCAGTGGGAAAAACCGTAGCGAAGGAAAATGGGTATAACTTTTCTTGAATTATGGATACAGTGTTAAGTATGCTTATGTTGCCTCGTTAAAACCTTGATAGTAAAAATCCAGTGGGAAAAATCCTAATTGAAAGAAAAAGAGTACAACATGCATGTGTCTTGGATGTATATCTCCTCCTGCATTCTTCAATTTGACTAATTGATAAGCCGACGTAATCCGATACCATAATTTATAATCGATAAACAAGCAAAAGGAAGGCTCTTTGTCTTTGCAGGAAAAATGTAATACCCCGTATTTAAAAAAAATGATTATATATATATGTGTGTGTGTGTGTGTGTGTGGGTATGTTGGGTAATTATTTTTACGTAATGATTTTATTTGATTTATTTTTATGCAAGAACCTATTCTCGGTATGTAAAATAGTTTCATTGTAAAATCCTTTTTGCTACAAATTATTTCAAAAACTAGCTAGTAGTATTTCATGTTCATATGTAATTAGAGATCTTTTTAGTTTGAATTGGAGAAGGTGATTATGATGAGTTTGGCTTTATTGTTCTCACAAAGGCTAAGTGACGTTTTGGGCAACCATTAGAGAATAAAGATGAGGAGTTAGTCACTACTCTAGATAGGTTGAGGTGGAGAGTTTGTAACATTAGGAGTTAATGATTTGGTGATTACTCACCACTCTAAATGTAAAGGTGGAAGTCTACTTAAGGGTGAGTTGGCAAGTTTATATTCATTAGGAATCTAAGAGTTAAATGTTTGGTGAGGATTTATCCCCCAAATTGTTTGGACGTGGCCTTTGGATGCAAGGAACATCTTGCATATTACTCCTTAGTTCATGATTAGCTTCACATTTGTTATTTTGTCATTGGACCACATTTCATTGTGATGATTAGGCTAACATTTGGTGTGTTTTCATTGGAACACATTTCATGGTAATAATTAGCACAACACTTGCTTTCTTTTCATTGGCACACTTGTGAAGATTCTTTGGACAAGAAGATGTCATGCAATTTACATAAAGGAAGGAGGAAAGAAACAACGGAGGGACATAGAGAAAAGAAGAATAGGAAAAGATAGGAAGGAGGAAAGAAACAACGGAGGGACATAGAGAAAAGAAGAAGAGGAAAAGATAGAGGAAAGAAGAAGAAGAAAAGGGAGAGGAAAGAGGAAGAAGAAAAGGAGAGGAAAGAGAAGAACAAAAGAAAGAAAAAGAACGACTCCAACGAAAAGTCAATCTTCCCTTCATATTACCTTCCTATTTTCTTTTACATGTTCTTAGGGCTTAAAGCCATCTTTCATTGTATTTGTAAGTCTACCACATATAGTGAAATACAATGAAAACACAACCCTAGTGGATGTAGCCAAATTGGTGAACCCCTTAAATCTTGTGTTATTTACATTTTGAGATCATTTTCCATGAGAAGCACTTCCACCAAACCATAGAAAATCTCCATTTATTTTCCCTTGAGAACGTTGTACAAAAAGTGGGAGACAAATCCCAGAAAAATACATGAGATCTTACTCAACAAATCTCTCCATCAAACTACCATCATTTTCATCTATCAAAAGAAAGATATCCAAAAACTAGAAATTCGTCCAGCCTATTTATCAGACCAAAACACCATCATCCATAGATTATATCATAGTATTTTCTTCATGAGAATTGTTTGTCTGTCTCTCTACCATGACATATCAGAATTTCAGACACATCCAACAGTGTGATCGCCCATTTTGTCTGAAATACCAACTCATGTCTATAATCCCACAGAAAACTAGACAACCATGTTATGAGCACTAAAACCATATTTTTCGTAACTCGAATTGAAACATGATTCCATGCCTTGTGGCCTTTGAGATATATATTTCACTCCAACAATTATTTTCTCTAACATGGATGTTCTTTTTTTTAATAAAAATAGGTTGCCCGACCAAGATGGACGAGACGTTGGAAAAATATATATGGAGTGGTCAACGAGCAACATTTTATATGATGGATTATAAATTATTATTTTGTTATTAACATTATGATTATACTACTCTTGTTACTAATCAATTTGATTTATGTTAAAATTGCAGGTTTGTAAGATAAAGTATGAGTATTGATATCTATGTAAACATGACATATACATATGCATTGCAAAGCAAGAAAAAGAGTTGTGTTGTGTCAAGTGCTCACTTGTGTAAAGTGTCTAAGTTGTGATGATATTCAAGGGTTGAAGTTTGCCTTAAATTAAAAATAATGAAATCTTATATATATCAAGCGTAGGGTGCAGGGCTTGAATATACATTTGGGCGTTGGGTGAAGTGCCTGTTTAATAAAGTGGAAACTGAGAGTTTAATTACAAAAATTGAGTTTAAGGGATGAACGGGAGTTAACTCATATGCTAACGTACTTGGAGCCAAGTGGTATAAGCATGGTATGGGACATGCAGGCTTGGGTGCCTTAGGTATGTGTTGACGGGATTAGAAGAGAGTGAGTATATTCATCCATCTTATTTGCATATGTTCCATGCATCTCATTGCATGCATATTATGTATTGGCAAGGACTACTCATTTCAATTATTATTTTAGTTGGTACTTTTGTTATGAATTAAATTTTGTATACTAATATTTTATTTCCTCTGCGTATTCAATAAATTACATGTGATACACTCAAGCTTTTATTATGTAAGATTTGTTATATGATGTATTTTGTAATCGTTGTAATTTAATTTAATTTTTCCACCATATCTTGGTTGTAGAATTTATTTCTATAGCTAAGATATGGCTCACACCCTAGCTCGTGAATAGTTTTTATTCAGGGGTCGGGGCGTGACAAAAAATATTTAAGGCTTTAATTAATTGGGTCATTCCTATCTACTTCCTGGAAATATTACAAACAAATATTATTGGTTCTTTTAGTCAAGCAAATGAAAACGCGTCTTGTTTTTTATATAATTGAAGACAGAGACACACTATACAAGTTAATTATTTGTGTTGTCTTTTATCTACTGCTTACTAAAAATATATGGAAATTAGAACCGATGTGTTTACGTTATGAAACAAAAAAATAAAACATTTTTTCATATCTAATCGTATCGGTTTGAATACAAAACTCTAACAACATCCCAAAACGTACATATAAGAGGCAGTACCTATGAAGACACAAAATATGAATCAGTTGTACTAACTTACTTACACTCTTGTACAAATAAGTTTAAAGTTACTAAGCACCTACTTACTTACACTTGTACAAATAAGTTTATAGTTACTAAGCACCTTCCGTCGCTCCCCCGGTCCTGCTCTCCTTCGTGGGTACTTTAATGCTGATTGGGCTAGATGTCCAGACACTCGTCGATCCACTTCGAGGTTCTTTACTTTTCACGGTCCGAATCTGATTTCTTGGAGCTCCATCAAACAACCCACGGTCATTGGTCAAGTGCGGAATCCAAATACCGTTTTTCGGCTCACGCATGTGCCGAATCCATCTGGCTGTCCTATGTTCTTCGTGAGCTATGATTTCCGGTCTCTTCACCCACCTCTTTATATTGTGATAATCTCACTACTAGTACTACTTACACGGCTGCCAATCCTTTTTTTCATGCTTGACGAAGCATATTGAGCTTGACTACCACTTTGTTCGTGAAAGGGTGAAGCTGGGTACTCATAAAGTTTAGTTTATTCCCTCCATTGATCAACCCGCGTATGTTCTCACTAAAGGCCAAGACCGCCAGGTTGGGGGGTATTAGCATAGGAGAATCCACTTAGGATTCTAATAGGCTAGGTTTTGTAATTAATCCCCGTAGGCTTAAGATTACTTGTCCTCTAAGTCACTTGACTTGTATATATGTACCGCTATAAGATCAATTAAATCAATACAGTTATAATTCTACACATTCCTATCGAATTCCTGGAAAAATTACATACAAATACATAATTGGTCATTTTAGTCAAGCAAATGAAAACGCGTCTTGTCTTTTTATATAATTGAAGACAGAGACACATTATACAAGATAATTATTTGTGTTGTCTTTTACCTACTTACTAAAAAAATGGAAATTAGAAGTCTACATTAAGAAGCAAAAAGTTCAAAGAGAGTTTTTTCATACCTAATTTTATGAGTTTGAATACGAAACTCTAACAACATCCCAACGAACATATAACAAAGTTAACAGTACTTGTGGAGTAATGGTATGGTAGAAGTTTAAGGGAAAAATTATAACAAGAAGTGCGGTAAGCTATCGAGAATAACCTACATTCACATTGGACAAAATTCTATAGAAAAGGGGACAAATTAGCATATTTAAATAAGAATTAAGATGCAAACATTCTCAAGATAAATTAAGCAGAAAAATTAATACACTTTACCAATTGTCAGACACTACTAATTGCCAATATAGCAAGATAATGAATTTCATGAGCGAAAAAAATATGCAATTTCAACTTACCATGCCAAAAAAGCTCCATTATAGTAGTAGCTTCCTCCTTACTTCATGCATCAAAAGCATTGCAACCGTAGATCCTGGAAATTGTAAAAATCCATTCAATCAAGAGACAATGTAAAAGTTGTGGGAAGGTGAATATGCAACAAAGAATCTAAGATAGACCTGACAAATTTGTGATTCCATTATAATTTCACACAAAAAAAAGATCAAATTTTGATTCAAACAAAACAATTTCACCATTACAGATCGGACCAACGAAAAAAATAATCTAGTAACATGATTTTCAACCTAACTATAAAAGGAGCTTTATAACAGACCAATCAATATCATTTCAAACCAACCAAAAAGAAATTGATTGTATGTCATAAGTTTGTAAACACGGAGAAAACCGTATCATATTTCATGACTAATCAGAAGCTTACAAATGTCAGGTAAGAACATACTTAAGTTCACATGCAAGAATGCAAATGAAGACAATTCGCTCCATTGTGTTCAACAAGGGAATAAAAAGTGACAAAAATAGTAATGATTTAGTGATTCGTACCTTTAACTTGATCTGATGGCAGGGCATTGAATGTTGACTGAACAAATTTTGCAAGTAATGAGGCTGCGTAAAAACTTTCACCTGAAAAGTTAAACCCACCATTATATGAAGGTTGTACCCAGTGCACAAGGCTCCCGCTTTACGCAGGGTCTGGGAAAGGTGAATGTCGGCTAGCATTACCCCCATTTATGGAGAGGCTGCTCCCAAGTCTCGAACCCGAGACCTAGCGCTTATGGACGAAGGCACTTGCCATCGCACCAAGTGCGACCTCTCCACCATTATATGAAGGTAAATAAGGAAAATCCAATCCAATAATCACAGCAATCTGAGAAGTGTATTTTAGTTTAGAGAACATGCATGTACTTTCTAAGAGCGAAAACCCTCAAAATGAGAGAAAAGAAAAGAATGAGATTAAAAAGCACCCAAAAATACAAATCAAATTCGTAATTACATCAAAGATACATGCTCAAACGTATAATGGGCAGAAACATAAGAGTTAAAAATCCAAACCTCAAGAATATGATTGTATTACACCAAATTTATGCTTAGTGAGTATACCAGAAGATTTGCGTGCAACGAAAGTATGGCAACCAGGGGTCCGTGGTTGGCTGGAGAACTCAGAGGTCTGTGAGTATACCAGAAAATCTCGGAAATCCATATCAGTCCAAGGTCTCAAGTTCTCAGAGTGGGGAATTACTGATTAGAACAGTTATTCTCTGCTCCTTTTTGGGTATGAACTAATTAGCACAGTTAGCCGTAAAAATACAAAACAAAAGCTCAATAATTTATGCAATTTGGTCAAATTTATACAATTTCCAGCAAAACTCAATACTCAATAATACAAAAGGAACGCAATAAATGATTGAAGCAATATTATACACAACTTATGCAAGTCCAAAGAAACCCATTTGATTAAACTCACCGAATACTGAAAACAAGAAAAAATACAAAATTACAATCAAGGCATGGATTAATAATTACATCAACAGCTAACGGAGCCAAAGCCAAACCCCAGAGCTTCGAAGGGCAGAAATGATCACAGAAACAGGAATAGTCCTTCTTCCTTCCCCACTGCTGCTGCTGCCACTTTATCTCTCTAAAAACCAATTGGAAATTGTTTAGAGAGAGACAGAGAGGAGAGAGTGATGAGGATTGGACGAAAGAAGTGTGAAAAACCTAAAAGACATGAAAGCTTGAATTCGAGTCCCAAATTGAAAACAGAAAGGAGGAGTGTAAGGGTGGCTTACCGAGGTCGGGAGCGGTGATCACTTCAATGATTCAAATTATATTTAAATTATCTTCTTTAGCTCTAAAACAACAAACCCAGAAGCCTAAAGTTGCATGAATGCAAAATTCAAAAATCCAAATTCCAGACAATAATTAAACAAAAACAAAAATATACAAAAATAAAAAAAAAAACCAAAAGAAATCAAAACATATAATCAATCAATAGTTAATTAATTAATCAAATAAATACAATACATGAATGCCCCGTTTGAACGACCCTACGCAAGAACCCGATAACCCGTCACGGCAAGACCGGACATTTTAGAACTGACTGCGCAGTGAAAGGCCTTCGCCTGTGTGTCCTGAGTAGAACGGAGTGAATGGTGGTGGTTCTGTGGTGATGTTTCGCCGAAAAATGGGGGCGTTGGTGCACCTCGGTGTTTACAGAGAAGAGAAAGAGGGAGGTCCAGGAGCTAGTAGTTGTTTGATGGAATTGAGGCCGCCGGAGTGGCGAGTTGTGATGTGGACTCAAGCCTCTCGGCCTCTGGGTTTTACAGAGAAGGTGAAGAAGGTGAGGGTTGAGAATTTTCCAATACTACCCTCACACCCCACAATCATCAACTAATTAATCACACATCAAACTCTTATCTCTTTCAAACAAAAAAATAATCCACATTTTTAAGATAAGAAAGATGAATTAAATTATTGTATAAAATCTTCATCTTGCCGTTTGATTTATAAACATCCATCAAATTTTCTTGAACAATCACGTTGGATTCTAAGAAGCCTGATGGACAAATGGTAGAAACTGTTCTTATAAGGTTATATCAGTTCCAACCAGCCAAAAAACATTGAATTTCTTCATCAAACAACCATAAGAATATTACATTTAATTACATCTTAAAATTTCCAACATTATCCGATTTTCTTCCTATTTCTTGGATTCCAATTAGAGCAGGGCTTTGCAAAAAATCAAATTTTTATTCCATTATTTACATAATTGTTTGAATGTGAAAACCAACAAATGAACGAGGAGCAAAACTCGATTTTTTGTTCCGTTCATCAAAAGATATATTTTCATCAACTTGTTTGTGTTTTTAGAGTTTTGTTCTACAATGAAGAGCAAGAGCAATTATTAGGGCTCGAATAATCATTTCATGTTAGAGTTACAAGTTGTTTAGTATTACATTTATAAGCGGAATGTATTCAACAACATGTGAGGGGTTAATAAAAAGACCCATGGTTAAAACCGTTTTTGATATAAAAATGTTTTTAGAATCAATCTTTTGTAAAAACACAAATAAATCCTACAAAAAACACTTGAAGTGCTTCATAAAGGAAACACATAACTGGTGTCTTTTAAAGGAAACACTTTCAAGTGCCTTTGAAATCCAAAAATATTTTCTAAAAGTGCTTCCAACCATTTAAAAGCACTTTCAAACGAGTCCACTGTAGGTGGTGAAGTATATTAGGCGGATAAAAATCGACAATAGGACGAATTGATTTGAACCAGTCCATAGGAAAACGTTGTACCTCTACAACATTGAGCATAAGACGAACTGTAAACTCAATACGCCCCAAGATTCGATGCAAATCGGATTTATCTAACTGCAAGCCATGTGAAGTTTAACTACAGACAACAAAAATACAAATAAAATACAGAAAAATTAAACTAATAATACTCGCACTTGGTCTACCATGTGGGTTCTGTTTGAACCTTCTTGTTTTGGGATCATTAAGCGAGCAAGGTTACTAAAAAAGCATAGTTAGAATCCAACAATGCCCCCACCAGAAAGATACTAATCATACTACCAACCCTAATCAAGTAATTAAGAGCTTAATTAATCCGCCATCGCTCGCTTTGCGACCAAGCCAACTGTAGACATGCTTAACAAAACAGCATTCAATATGCCCTGCGAAACTGAACTCGACCCGTCGGACTCTTAATTAAGCTCTAATTGTTGCACAATTAATTCATATATATTTTCACACTTATCTCAGAAGTAACTAACACAAGAATAAATCCAATGAATGTATTAGGTTTACACAGAAAACTGACCTCACCAAACCTACTCAAGAGCCAACTATATAAATTCCACCCTTTTCGGTTTTTTTTGCGGTTTTTTCTGTTTCGGGTCTTTGTCTGTCTGTTGTTCCAAAAAGAAAGAAAAACAAAGCAAACAAAAACCACCAGAAAAGCTCACCAGCAAGAACTGTTAGACAATTTTCTTGTAGCCATGCTGATGGAAATCTGTGTTTCAAGGCCATCTCGGTCATGGAGTTACTAAGGCGGAGGAGCAAACATTTAGAACCGGAGTAATATGAGCACTCATCGGCCAGTTTTTGCACGCTTCATTCCGCTTGAATTGAAAGGAGATACACTACCACTTGGTCCAGGACTTTCTTCTCTGAAATTTGAGTTTAGCAGAGCCAACTCACGCAACTGCTGCCTCTTAATAAAATCTTGTGATTCATCCTGCAAGTGAAAGGTTTATATCGAGAAAGAAAGAAATGAAGAGATAAAGTCAAAATTAGGGAAAGGTGTTTTCTAGTTAAAATACAAAGTTAGAATCGTCAGTGTTAGCATCTATGAACAAGTTCCTGTGTAGGGAAAGAAAGGTCCCAGCTTGGTTCAGCTACTTTTTGAATCTGCCAATCAAGCAGGAATAGACTCCCATGCAATACAAGTAGGTGTTCAAACGTTATCATATATCCCTCTCTAGATACAAGTACATTTGCATCGAAGAAAAAGTTTCGGAACAGAAATGTGAGGATTAGCCATACTTGATGTTTTACATAAATATCCAACAAGAAAACCAAAAGATTGGGAGATAATTACCACAGGTTTGAGCAATTCTTCTATGATTTCTTGCGCCTGTCTCAACCTTAAGTCAACCACATTGGCAGGTAAATCGGCTTCAATTAAGATGTGGAGTGGTTCGTTCAGGTGCTCATAGCCTGGCCTTCCCCTGAGCTTCTCCTCCTTGATATCAAAATATGAAACGATTAAGATTGTAAACCAGAACAAAAATCTTAAAGAAATTTTTTTATGAATGATGGAAAATGTTCTATATTCCAAAGTCAGAAATGATTGACAGCAATTCAATAGTATTAGACTAGAAAAGAATGAACAAGTGTGTTGTACCTTGTCTGGGTCCTTAATAGATCCCTTTCCCCTAATGTACACACGACAACCTGTCGTAGCTTCAACCCGTTTCAGAGAATTACCTCTCGGTCCAAGAAGCCGCCCAACAAAATTGAACTGACATCCATTGTGCAACAAAACGTTCAGTTATTTATTACATGGCAACCAATCAAACCGACTTCAAATGCTAGCAGCATGCTAAAGACTTACATTGGGGTAAGTATCTACAGGGATTTCTAAACGTAAAATCCTCTTCACAGTGTATGAACTAGGGCTCGCGGGTGCACCTTGCCAGTCCATCGTCATCCCATGGGGTCCACCTAATCTCTGTTATACAGTAAAGGGTCTAGCCATCTCAGATGTATAACATTCGTAATACAAACGAAAAGAAAAGATAGGAACAGATGACTCGAGCAGAATCACACAGGCAAGAGCATACAGGAGATAAAAATATAGGCAAGCATGTCAACACAGTTTATCTTGACCATATTGCCAGTCGTAAAGTCCACATTCCAAGACAATCATGCTTGATTTCTTTATCTTTCTCACCTTACAGCACTTTTGTGTTGTGTGCTTCAAACTCAATTGTTAGATTGTGTTGTGTGCTTCAAATTCGATTGTTAGACATGCATGGTTCTTGGTTCTTAGAATCTGTGTTTGTTTATGAATTAATTTTAGGTGAAAGGGACATTATACGAGTTCAAATGTTTATCCAAACAAGAAAACTCTGCAATTCCAACATTTTCAGTTCGGATTCATGCTAACAACGGCTTTCTGAAATTTTGTATGTGACTAAAACCCAATTTCACATTGAAGTTGGGGGCCAACTCAGCTCATGATGCAAAGCGGAATCAATACAAGGTATCAAAAATCAGGTGGGTCCCCATGGAATGTTTTAAAATGTGATGTTCAAACCTGTCCAAGATTCTTGAAATTTACCCACAAACTATAGAGAACACCGTATAAGTTGAGGACCAAACTCCCAAAGACACAATTATATGAAGACATGAAAGACATTATCGCGTAAGAGGTGGGTCGTTATGTGCTGAATGAAGCATGGAGGACTGGGGTATAAAATCACAGCAACTGGAGGGAGGAAAGGGTATAAAATCACAGCCATAAAAATAAATAATCACCTCTTGAGGAAGTCCATTCCAGCCACCCATTCCCGTCCCAGTCACATTTGATATAAGATTTGAAGAAGCCATTGGACTAGGGCTTCTATGTCGCATTCTGTCAAAGTCGCCAAAACCTTGGTTGGACATCATTCCAGAAACCCGTAAAATCTCTGCACACAAAGAAGAATGTAATATGAGAAATTGGCTACACAATTGGAAAGGTCAATACGAGAGAGGACATTCCAAGGTCGAGAGGTATGAAATTGAAAAGAACTGAGCTTTATCCATAAGAAACAGAAAAAGCACAACCTAGACCTGGTCTTTTCAATGTAACACAACCACGCCTTGAATGTGGATACCACATACGGGGGTTAGTCAGTAGAAGAAGTTCAATGAGTTACATTTTGAGTGAGCAAAGACGCCAATCAAGGTCAATTACTCAAATGTAGAGCAGACATTATCACCGCTCCAGATTGGATATTTACTCATGAAGCAAAGTTAATCTACCCCCAGCTGACTCTAATTCTAAAAAGAATATTCCTGGTGCTTTCATCGTCTGTATATCTCAGAATATATTTACCTATAAATTCCGCTTTCATAAATTTTTTTACTAGTCATCAACATACACCGGTTTTGGCAGTTCAAACGAACTGAAGTACACAGCCTTCAATGCACTCAAATCACAATTGGAACTAAGCAATGCCTAAAGACCTTTACATGGGGTCCTCACATCGTTATCATATGCTTGTTTGATGCAAAAACATTCACGAGTCCAGCATATAGATGCACAATATTAGAGTGGTTAGTAGTACTCTATCCGACCGTCATCAAATGTTATGAATCATTGAAAATGACAAAATTATACGCAACCTTTCAAGTCTAATTTCGACAAGAACTCTAACTTCCCCATTGGAAAGCCACTAACAACACATAAGCTCAAAACTATGCGTTAGAATGTGAAAACACCAGGTCTGCAGACACAGTTCCACAAAGAAATAAAAAATGAATGCAGGATCAGTTCAAAAACAGCCATTTTCGATTGACGAAACAAGCAGCCTAAAGGATCATCCAGTAAAAAGCAATCAGACCGATCTGTCTACTAAAGCAAGCACATTTCACAAACCAAAGGGACACAAACCCGATACGGGCCATAAAAATCTAGATCCAAAACACAAAGATTTTGAAGCAAAACCTTGATTCAAGAGGCGGCTGCATATCGGAAGAACTTGCATGAACGGTCCAAGCTTTTGATGCTCTGCCAACAACTCCGACAAGTACTGACTGCAAAAACACACACAGATCCAAAAAAGGGCAAAACTTCATCAAAATTTGAACTAACATACAAAAATCAGTTGGTTCACTGCCAAGACTGTAACTTTTCTTCTGGGCAATCGATTTCTTGAAGATTTAGAGAGGTGGGTTGTTCTAAGAACAAACCTGTCAACATCTGGGGTGCTTCTAATCTGAGGAGAAGCAGCTCTGGCAGGTGAGAAGTTGGGATTATACAAGCCTGACATGGCTTTTTTTCCCCAGAGAAATTGGATAAATGGCAAAAGGGTTTTAGATGGTGGTGGTGTTGCAGAAGAAAAAGGAGAGACAAAGAGCCATTAATTAAGGAAGGGTTTGTAATAGCAGAAAACAAAAAGCGAAATTATATAAATAAATAAAAGGATGGAAAATAAAAAGAAAAGGGTCAAAGACAGCTCTCTCTCTCTCTCTCTCTGAATTTTGCAGAAAGGAAAGGGGAAAATATTTAATTATTTGCAATGCAGAAAAAAAGTAAATTAAATTAAATAAAATGGAAAAAATGAAGAGTTTTGGGGGAGTGAGAAACTGGTGAGTGAGTGCAAATTTTTTTTTATTTTAAAAAGGATCTATTTTTGGTTTGGTTTTTAAGGTGGCAGATTCACAGGAGACTTTTCATCTCACAGTGACCCATGAACTCAGAAAGACGGTCTAGAGAGAGAAAGACAGAGACTGATGAGAGAGAGAGAGAGAGAGAGAGAGAGAGAGAGAGAGAGAAATGGATGTTTTACTACTAGTTGAATGTTACGTGGAAAATCCATGTTTTATATGTATGAGGGAGAGAATTTCAAATCGGTCAAAAATCCAATCTGGTACACTAATTGTAGCAATATAATTAGTTTTAATTATTTTTTTATTTTTTAGATAATTATATTATTATATTTAATGTATTGGAATGTGTTCATATCATAACAGATTGAAAAATTACTCCTCATGAGGACTTAGACCAAAAAAAGGAGGCAAATTGTCTGCCCTCCTGTTTGGATGTCCTTCCCATCTTTTACTATTTTGAGTGGTCACGGTTAAGCTATGTTAACATTTTATATTAATTTTTTTATAAAGATAATAAGATAAAAAATAATAAGAATACAAAATATTGATGTGCCTTAATCGTAACCACATAAATAAAAATAGATGGGAAAAGCATCCAAACAGGGTGGCAGACAATTTACCTTCCAAAAAAAAAATGTACCGAGGAAAAAGTCCTTTGGAAACGGGGGGACACGCGTCGGCCATGCAGAGAATCAAGCTGTGTAGAACTTCAACGGGGAGGTCCCAGGGAAGCAAATAATGGCCAATGGCAAACGACAATGACGTTGCCAACGCAAGCTTAGCTGGTTAAACTATGTCGTTTTGGTTATGCCCTTTTGGGATTTCAACACTTCCCCATGTTTTGTGGGAGTGTTTTGACTGCTTTTACTTATTCCTTCCTAATTTGCTTCGAAAGTTCCTTGTTCCGTCTACTTGGAACACTGGTTACGTAGTTGACGACGGCTATAATATGGATGGAATCATTATTACGGTGGCTTAATTATTACAGACAAATTTCAGAGTCGTATGTTTATACGGCATATATTTTGAGTTTGATTTCTAATGCTGGTGAATTATACGATAGTGATCAGTTGAAGTTTAATTACTTATATGAGTCTTCTTAGTCCACAAAATGATAGACTTCCGTGAGGAAGCCATCAGCTAATTCCCTTTTAAAAATAGTAATACGGATAGAAAATATGAATTATATCTCACTTGTATAATATTCTAAATAGAGCGCAAAACACAAGTCAGACAATAAAACATAAGGAAAACTAATGAAAATTGTATGAAAACTCTGAGTTTTAACTATAATGACAAAATAAAGGCTAAAGTGAATAGTACTATGATTGATTTTTTTTAGTGTAAAAATGTGATTTTTGGTTAAATTGAAGAGTACCGAAAACTTTTCGTTAAAGTTCCCTAAAAAATAAGCACACCCCAAACAATAGGACATGTGCACACTCTGTAGTAAGCAATTATTTATGTCAAAAGGCTTTTTTTGAGTTTAGCATTACTCTTAATTAATATAGTTAATGATTAATTATTAGTTAGATGTAAGGATCCCTTCCACCAAATCTACCAATCTTAGCCCTTGAAATTTGATTTAATAGCTAAAGTTATTATAACTTTTAAAGAGGACCCTTATTTTTAGTCATTCAATCAAATCTCAAGGATCCGGATTTGTAGATTTGGTGGAAGGGATCTGAAGAGGATCCCTTTCCCTATCTTAACATAAACTCTAATTGGTCAATTTGTATAGGAATGAGGATCATCTCCGGATCCTCTAATTGTATTCGTTCATCGTATATCGTGCGGGCAGAAATCATTGTAAATTTTTTTATTTAAAATTGAATATAAACAGTACTTGACAAAAAAATGGTCGCACGATGTACTATAAACAGACACGATTGAATGATCTCTGGGATCCTCAAAAAGAGGCCCTCATTCTTTGTATAGTTTATTTTTTATTTTTTATACATCGATATTTTTTACACTAAATGAGATGAAGAATTCAGCTAAGCCACATAATGGACAATCTAATTTGGTATCGAATTCGTCATCCACTAGATTCGAACTTAAGACCTCTTACTTCCAAATGAAAAGAAATATCATAAGACCGTAGTACTGAATGACTCATTCTTTGTATAGTTACACACTATCAAAATCAAATTTAGCTCGAAACTTGTAGAACAAAACTTGTCACTTGAACAGCCACACAAAATTCGGAAGATGAGAAGAAAACGGGATCCGACACCCGGAGAGTACAATCCGGCCCACTGGACAACTAAGCACTTTCTAATCGGGCCCACTGGTGAGGCCCGCTGAATACGAGTTACAGAGTTAAAAAAAAAAACGAAAAAGAAAAAATAGAAAGAAAATAAGCAAGAAGGCTACCTATACCCATCTAAACTAGTAATTTTACACAAACCACCTAACTTCAAAATGTGTTGCAATTTGGCACCTATATCCACATCCATTCATATTTTCATCAAATAAAGGTACGTTATAAAATTATGTACACTTTCTTGAAAGCTATTTCTCTTATTTCGCTTGGCTAGAGTTCAGATTTGATGAGTATTAGAGAAGTTGAAAGAAAGTGACGAGTCTCTTTAAGGACAAAAAACGTCACACAAACATTGATTTTGTCAACGATGATGTGTATGTTTGATAGAATATTTAAATCTACTATTCTCTTTCGACACCTAATTTCAAGAGTACAAACTCAACACTATATTTACTAGAATATTTGACAACATCTCTAAAACTTCCCACATATACATCACAGAACACTAGTGAAAACAAAAAAAGTTCTCGTAAAAATTTGGGTACCAAATTGTCACATAAATTTGGTCACGATAAAGTTTTGATGGTTAATGGTAAAACAAAAACTTATTCAGGTGGTGATTTCACAAAACTGAAAACTAGCAGTGCCGTTTGTGCAATTTTGACAGAAAAATAAAGGGAGTCTCCGTCTCCTGTCTCTCGCACATCGTCGATCGTCTCTGTTACACGGACTGTGGAGGTAAAGCTGCGGAGAGAGAGAGAGCGAGAGAAGAACAACAGCTGAAAGCGGAGGAACGATGTCACTGGTATGGATGGAAGCGCTACTTCCGCTCGGAATCATTGCCGGAATGCTATGCGTCATGGGAAATGCTCAGTATTATATCCACAAAGCCGCCCATGGCCGGGTTCGTTCCTTCTCTCAGATCCAATTCCATCTCTCTCTCTCTCTAGAAATTGTTTGAGGTTTCTGAGATTCTGATTTCGAAAGTTGAAATTTTTTTATGAGATTGTGATTTGGGAAATTTGAAAATTGTGGTGTTTTGGGCAGCCTAAGCACATTGGGAACGACATGTGGGACGTGGCGATGGAGAGAAGGGACAAGAAGCTCGTGGAGCAGGCGTTTGCCCATATCCAGAATTAGATTGCCTCTTCCGGTACTCATCTTTTTTCGATTTTCGGTTTCGATTTGGGATCATTTTTCCTTAATTTTTTATTCTTTTGATTTAGGGTTTTTGTTTGATGATTTGGTTTATCATGTTTCATTGCTGTCATTGCTATGAGTGAGGTTAAAAGTTAAATCCAGGTAGTACTTCGTGAAGTTAAATTATGTTTCGTTCTAGCTGAATGCTAATCCACAAATTAAGCGGACGTATCTGCATAGACGGTTTTAGGAAATTTAGTATTAGGAATAATGGTGCATAAAATTATGTTTTGACCAACGAGGTTTCGAAAAACCTTTGATGGGTAGGATGGTGTTTTAGGATTGAGAAGTTGAGTCACTATTTACATGATCCTATAAATGTGGGTTGACTCAAAGGAATTTGACATTGGATGATGCAACTTATATTTGCTTTTTTGAATTGCAATGGGTTGTAAAAAGTGCGGGATCGTACCTTATCAACAAGTTTGCATGATACATAACAATGTGAAGTTAGATATACCTAGTTGATGCAGATGGTGCATTTGCTTTATAGCACTTGATTTGGTTTGATCTTGGGCCTTGTTAGAACTTAGCACCCCAGTTTCAATACCGTGTAAAGAGGGTCTGGCTCGGCTCGGACAAATAACTCGCATTTTGGCGGTTATCCAAGCCAAGTCAGTCCACTCCAAGACAGATCTTGCAACAAACACTGCCAGAATGTTTATATGGGGAATATGGGGAAACTTGATAAGTAAATTTCTGACTTTATGTCGTATAGGTCTGCTACTTCTTGCAAAGATTAGCCTTGTTTTTTCTCTCCTTCTCCTGCATAGGAACATGAGTCTTTGATTTTGCTTTCTGGTGCAGTATAGCCTCTGATGATAGCTTGGGATTTGAGTTGATTGATATATTTTTTTCAATTCCAGTGGATTTAAAAAAGTAATGCAATCGGGAAATTTCATCGAGGGTTGCTTTTTCAGGCTTTTGGATGCATCCTAGTTGATGTGTGGGCTGCAAGAACCATGAGATAATTTTATTTCGTGAAGTTTCATATGTTGTACGCTCCCAAAATATAAGTCAGACGGTAGCAGGTCTTGTGTGAATAGTTGTAGTAGGGCACTAATTTATTCTTACAAGCTCGTGTATGGTCTTTAGAGGAACAAGCATTCTGATTTCATAGTGCAAAAGCCCAGCTCTTAAACAAAAGAAGAGACGTTTAAAGGAATACATGCAAATGCATGAACTAATGTCCTCTCTTGAGGGATACTTTCAAGCTTTATGGATTTACTGGCTTTAGCAGCTATTGGACGCTATGGTTTTTACAAGTTTTTAAGATAATATAAAGGAACTTTGTGGTAGTGTGTTGATATGTTGAAAACTTGGAAGAGTATCGGAACTTTACTTCTTTTTACAAGTTCTGTATGACTGTATTAGTACCATCATATGTATCGAGGGCCTCGTGAAATTTTAACTCAATGAGATCCTATCATGTTAACTCAAGTGCCTCCATTTCTCTGTGTATGTTTGTTTTCCAATGTTTTGATTATGAAGCTCATGATATTGTGGTCCAAACCGCAGGAACCTTTGTGACTGGAATCTCGAGAAGCAATAAAGCCATCGTCCCATTCAGAAGGAGCCGAGAGCAACTCTAATCACCAATCTTTTCATTGTATGTGAATTTTCATAAGCTGTCATACTGGTAATGGGAAAATTTACATGCTCCATTGATTTTATTTGTAATGTTAACCTTCGGATATGAGTTTGTTCGTTTGAGCTTGGTGTGATTCGGGTATGTGTTTACTGTCTTTACCGTCTAGGGATGGGCAACGGTTATGATGGGCGGGTAACCGATGTTATTTACCCATAATCGTTTATGTTCGTACCCGTATACCCGCGGTTAACCATACCCATTACCGTGTACTCATTTAATCATAACCGTTTACCCATTTAACCATAACTATTTACCTATTTATCCTTTTTTTTTTTACCCATTTACTCCTTTTTTCACCCATAAACATGATTCTTTTTTTTAACAACTTGAAAATTACAAAGGAAAAATTTGTCATAATTTTTGTTTTCTGACAATTAACACCGTTATAGGTACATTTTAAGCATACATTTCCCTAATTTAATCATTTAAGTCCACATACAATTCTAATAATTGAAATAATAGTTTACGAACTATATTTTTCTGCTACACCCAAGCAAGTCTTTAATTATATTCCATATGATTACAAAATAAAGCTTCTAAAAACAAAAATTAGTCATTATCTTGAATACTAGATGATTCAAAGCTCCAAAATATTCTGAAACTAAACATTTTCAAACACTAATGCTTTAGCACATTCAATCACAAATTCTCATTGACTTGTTGTCACCAAAAGAGGCCTACAAAAGAAATGTATAAATTGAATTAGTATCCCATTTAGGAACACCGACACAAATAGCATAAATTCAACAGAGGTAAGTGATCACAGAAGATTTACATTGTACACCCAGTTATCAGAAGAAGAAAAAAAAGCAAACAAAAGCGATCCCAGTCCTTCTCCTCTCTAATATACATACATACATACATACATATATATATACATATATATATATATATATATATATATATATATATATATATATATATATGATTGGGTAAATGGATACTCGTTATAACCGCGGGTAATACTTATAACCGGCCATTTAAATTTCACGGATAAATGTACCCATAATCGATTGTTTGTCTAAACGGTTACTCATAACCGTAATCGTGAACTTTAAATAGACGGTTATGAGTATTACTGTAGTTCATTACTTCATTTGGTTCAGTATCAGCGAAAAGCTTGGCAGGTGATAAATTAACTGTAATAAGTAGAGAATATCTCTCACGTCGAGTCTTATAGTTGAAGTTGCAGGAAGTGGTACACAACAGAATGAATGAGCACCATTTGTACCAGCGACTTTTGTCATCCACATCAATTCTTTGCAGTAGGTGTGACCATATCTACTTCATAAACTTTATGTACGATGTAGAGGAAGAGTTGAATAATTGGGCGAAAAAGGAGTTTGGTATGTTTATTTATCTGGAATGGGCTTGAACTATTTCAATTCTTGATTACACATGTTTTGAACACATATGGAATATAGTCCATACTATATATAATACGAAAAAATATAAATTAGATTGTTTGAAATGAATACTCGTTCATTATCTTTCTTCTGTATCCTACCATTCTCGAAACATGACTATCCCAATTCCAAATTCGTTCGGGATTTGCTTATTTATGAATTAATGATGCTCATAATCGCTTCTAATGGAAGTACTTTCACTAGAAGCTTGTCAATTTTGTTTATAAAGGATTCATGGGCTTCCTGAAAGGTACTTGAGAGTGCTTTTAGAACAAGCGTTTGACAACGTGCTTCTTTTATAAACCTCCTCTATAATCGATAAGCACTTACAACTTTCATTTACCAGATGCGTAGTCAAAATATGAAACAAACGCCAAATACAGTGGTGGTGATGCTCACCATCCCATCAGTTATCGTTTGATGTGTTTGATTGAATTTATTTCTTACAAAAATCTCCAAATTTAAACTAATTTAACAGTAATTAATAGAGTAATGAGTATCGACACCACTTCTTACTACCACTTTAGAGCGGTGAGCAAAATGCACTTGTCCCTCGTATTTTATGAATTATAAAATAAGGAGGTGGAAGAAGATGATTGGTGCACGTTCAATTCCTTGACACTTACACTCACACCCACTCTTGCGTTTGAGCTGGGCCGTTGGGTGCCACATTATTCTCTGTTTATTAGTTATTATTGTGTTCTATTAATACCCGCATTTAAAACAAAAAGAGGAGCCAACGAATACAGAATCCCAATTAATACAGAAAACTATGCACTTGAAATTCATATAAAAAAACAAAGTAATATATAATATTAATTAATTAATTGTAATATACAATATTTTCTCTAGAAAAATTAAATATAATTGAAATATGGTAGGTGGAGGAGAGCAAAGACAAAACTACAGCTGACAGCACTTGGAACAAAGAACATAGAAAGCAAAGGATTCCTCTGCCATTTGCAATCTCATATTATAAATTGATTTAATCAAAAGTTACAACTCACAGCTAAACAGTTTCCTACACCTCCGGTACACTACCGTGACATCCCAGACCAATGTGCATTGTCGTTTGAAAACGAGAAAACACATAGCATCGCGTTATTCATTTGAGATGCAACGGTGGTGTACCAGAGCGTAGGTAACAACATCCAAAAGATTGCTTGGATATAAAAAATAGTGTCACTTTTGCTCAAAACTAGTTGCCCAAAACTTGGATGACAGAATCAGATTCTTACAAATTTGCCAACATGGTAAAAGGAAAGAGTGCTAGAAAAGATCAGACAAGGGAAAACAAGAGGATGTGCAAATGAAACTTATGATTTCTTCTCAATGAAACAACTAAATCCATCACATATAGGAATCACTTTTCGGCTAAATTCACAGTTCCACACCAACAATGAATCATAGTAAAACTATCAGTGAATGACAACAGATTTACACAAAAAATCCTAGATTACCCACAGTGACACAAAGAATCTACCAAAGAAGATGCGAAGCGTGGCGCGTAGATGAAGGAGGCGCCACCATAAAAAGGTGTGACTGGACGAATTTCTGAATACACGAATTGAACTTTGAATGTTGAATGGTGGTAGGAAAGAACTGGAAGCTTGTACAAAATGGTGGTGGGAGGAATCAAGGAACATATTCAGTCTCGATAGTCGGTTGTGTTCGCGTAAATGTTGCTGCAGGTGCCTTTGCATCTCCAACTGAGGTCATTTGCAAGGCTTCTCCTACATCTGCTGCCGTCTCCATCCGTTGCAAATTCTTCCTTTCCCTGTACTTTTTTCCCCAAAGTACTAAGAACGACAACAATGCCAACAACGCTAAACCACCCAGCACAGACCCAACAATTATCCACACTTTCGAATTACTCTTCTTCTTTCGTCTACCACTAGGCACTGGGGCCACGTTTGGACTTTCACCAGCAGGGGTGGGACTTGGAGAGACTGGTGCTGGAGAAGGAGCAATGGACTTCACCGCTATGGAGAAGTGCCCTTGTTGAACTGCTGAACACATATTGCCTGATTCCACATTGCTGAAATTGATTGAACCATCCAAATCAAACAAAACACACTGTGCCACTGTCCCAGCAGGAGTCGGTTTCACATCCTGGAATTTGATCATTATTGGATCACCAGATGCCCTGATAACCAATTCTGGCAGATTTTTTGCTGATAGGTTGCCAGCATCATAAGCAAGAAGACCGATCAATGGAGCTAAGTAAGAGTAACCCTGTAACGGGTAATACACCATTGACCAATTGCCCAGGTTCTGGTACACCAAAACAAGCCTCTCCACATACGGACTCTCAGTGACACCCTTAGGGATCTCAAACTCTTTGTACATGTTAACACCTCTTCTGTACAAGCTACCACTCCTCAGCCTCATAGCTGCAATCTGAATTCCAGTCAAATTCAAGGGAACACTGCCATTAAATATAACACCTGTCTTTGGATTAACAAAAGACCTGTAAGCATAATCTTGAAGAAGCGCATCAAGACCGCGTGCTGAGCCTCCTGAGGATTGCGCAGAAACATCAGGCAGCCAGGAGAAACATATCACAATGAACAGCATCGCGAGACTTCGAAGAAGAAGCCCCATCGATGCTTCGAAATCTTGAAACTCAGCACAATGCCACTCAAAACCAACTTGGTCGAAACGCAATACCCAGATGACAATATGCACCCAGAAGACTTCCTATTTATAACACTTCGGACCCAAAGAATAGTAACTGAAAATGTGCAATTAATTCTTCAAGCTTCAAAACCTCTGGTTTTCGACTCGTAAATCTCCAATTAATAGAAGCAAAGGATACTTGGTAAAGGGAAAGAATGATTTGGGCTCAGAGAAGATAATGTGTTTTCTATAAAGCGACTTTGAAGGTTTCAACCGTTGCAATTCTTCAGATTTTGCTTTTCCCTTTGGAATCCTTGTAAAAGAAGCTCCCTCAGAGACTCAAAGGGCTTGACTTTCGAATCTTTTCAGCTCAAAAGAAATTAAAACCCAGATTCTTCGCCATAAACCCATTTAATGCGAAGGAAATAAATCGAAATTAAAAGCAACCCAAGAATCTTTTTCTCCCCTTTCTTCTCCAAACGGCCAAATTTGAGCAGCGAGATTATCACACTATCAAATTTCAGAACAAAAAAAAGGAGAAAGAAAACAGTAGATTCAGTACCAAGATCAAGAACCCAGGTGGAGATTTTAACAAGGGCAGCTAAATACCTGATCTTTACGGCGGTTTGCGGCGGAGCTTTTCTGGGTTTCAGCGCAAAGCCCTAAATCTTGACGTATTTTCGTCGGTTTGCGGCGGAGCTTTCTGGGTTTCTTGACAGCCGAGTGGAAGAAGAGCATGCACCTCAAAAACCCACGAAGAAATACAAATCCCTCACAAGAATTCGCAACCAGAAAACGCGTGATAACCCGACGCTCTTCAAGAATCTCGCCATTGAATTCTCTAGCTAACAAAGATCACAGCAGTAAATGGGCCTCCCAACAACCCCGAGATACAAATAGGCGGCGAAAGGATCAGAGCTTTAATGGGTCCCGATACCGACCTGCATTTTTGACCAAATCCGACGGACCAACGCAGAGAAAGATTCAGCTGCGGTTTCACGGCTGCGGAATCCAATTCGGGGATCGGAGAGAAGAAGGAAGGAAACTGAATCCCGGGTAATCGGTAGATTTTGTTTCTTGAGCGGAAAATTTGGGATTAATGGTTGTGGAAGATAAGCTACGGCACCATTTATTTGGGGATTAAAATCCGAAAAAAAATATAGAAGAAAATCAAATGGGGAAGAAATACATGAGATAAGCTGCTTGAGATTGCAGATGGCCAGCCAGGAGATGTGTACTGGTAGGGAGTGAAGCGAAACAAAAAGACAGAAAGAATAAGTGTGAGAAATTAATTAAATAAATAACCATAAAAACGATAAATTGATAGTTGTTTGCTTGTTTTTTTTTTATTATTATTTTTTTTTGCCAATTTAATTTTTTAATTAATTAATTTGTACTCTGTATTTTATGCTAATTATTTTGATTGTATATATGAATGTCATTTACAGGTGTGTGTTAACGTTAAATCCCACCTAATTCTTCTCCCTTGTTTCTTTCTTTTCTTGGTTGATACTACTACCCTTTTTGTTTCACTATTTGACAAATAATTTTTCTTTACAATCGTCACACCACCACGAGATTTTACGAATTCAATTGTGTTATACCATAGAAAGAATATTCTTAGCCACCGTCGTGGCAGTATTTTTATCTAATCAAATATTGTTATATGTGTTTAACCTTCTTACATAACATATATACTATTTATTTGGTTGGCGATCACAATATTGTTTCGATTAATATGCTCAGCATATAAGGTTTAGGGATACAATGAAAAGATATCAGATAAGCTGCTTCAGTTCATTTCTTGATGGTATATCAACATTGTTATTTATCAATATTAGAGAAAATTGTTACAATGGTTCTTTAATTTTAACCTAATTAGAACAATGGTTTCTCAACTAAAAATTTGTGACCATTAATCCCTTAACTCATTAAAATGTGCAGTTATGGTTATTTTCGTCATTTTCGTTATAACTTCTTCAAAATGAATCATATTGGAAGAACCATTGTTACAATTGGGTTAAAGTTGAGGGACAATTTCTCCAATTGTGTTAAAATTAGGGGACTATCTTTCCAATTAAGTTAAAGTTGAGGGATCATTGCTACAATTTTCTCATTTGGTTTTCCATATTTGCCATTTGATTCAACCTCACGTGGTGACATATAACTCATTTTGACGGAAGTTCTAACGGAGTTGACAAAAAATACAGTAGCTGAACGTTTTGATGAGTTAAAGGACTAATGGTCACAAATTTTTAGTTAAAAAATCATTACTCTAACTAAATTAAAATTGAACGATCAGTGCTAGGATTTACTCTTAATATTATGACACACAAATATATAATACAACTTAACAACGAGGCTGTCACGCTCAAAATCCCGTCCAATTGACCGACGGGTCTTACGTTTCCCGATGTGTCAATGTACCATTTTGTTTTCTTGTTTGTGATTTGCCTAGAGATAATTCGTGTCCTGCATCATAAAACAAAAATATGAACCTAAATATTAAGTCTAATATTTATTTAGTTTCATATTTATTGCTAAGCTTCTTGCCGATCGGATCAAGGATGTCCTTCCCTCTATTGTGACCAACTCTGAAGCTGCTTTCGTCGCGGATAGTCGAATTAGAGACAATATTATGCTTTTGCAGGAGCTTCTCAAAAATTACCGTAGAAATAATGGTCCTTTTAGATGTGCCTTACAATTACACATTATGAAAGCTTATGATACTTCGGATTTAGAATTTCTTTTACACACTCTAGCATTGTTCAGACTTCCAACTCCTATGACTAATTGAATCCGTTGTTGTGTGACTAGTTCTAAGTTTTCAGCTTCAGTTAACGGCGAGCTAGGGATTTTCCCAGGAAAAATGGGGGGGCTAAGACAAGGATATCCTCTATTCCCCTTATATTTTTGTCATTGTTATGCAAGTACTAACCAAGTTACATTTTTTTGGCATGTCAACTGTCCCCCCATGGCCCTCTTAGTCTGAGGTGAGGCAATCAACTTCGACCTTCGGGTCCTTGGGTGGCTTGATCTAGTTTGATTTGGCACCATGCATGGAGCAAACTTCGTTTTATGGCGAGCTATTGAGGGTTATCTTAGATTGATGAGGTTAAAGCTTTTGGTCTTCATGTCAATCCTTCTTGCTCCTTCAGCGGGAGTAGGTTTGAACCTCGTGCTAATCTTTTTTTCGAGTGCCCCTTTAGTATGCGGATTTGGCGCTTCGTTTTTTTGTTGTTTGTGATGTGCCTTGGTTAAATCACACATGGCTTATGTTCTTAAAAAAATAATATAAATGATGGCATCAGTAGGTGATAAGAATAACATTTTCTTATAAAATACGACTTAATTATAAAAAGATAAAAGAGCCGAAGCAAACTTTGTTACATCCCACATCGTCTAAAAAAGTGGATCTTTTAAACCTTATATGTATATTCTCATCTTTACCTAGCACGAGGTCTTTTGGGAACTCACTGGCTTCGAGTTCCGTAGGAACTCCGAAGTTAAGCGAGTTCGCGAGAGAGCAATCCCAGGATGGGTGATTCACCGGGAAGTTCTCGTGTGAATTTCTAGAAACAAAAAGTCTCATGGCCTCACCCATAGTTGATAAGCCATTTTAATTGTGAGCCTTTGAACCTCAAGAAAAGTGGATTGAAAATCAATTACTAGTCGCTCAGTGCCTTCGTCGTGCAATCAAGTTCGAATTCACATTAGTGGCATGTTTACATAACCAGAATGAAAATATAAGGAATTGAATTGAGGAGGAGTAGGAATGAGAAGAAGTCATAATCGGATTCCTGTTGAAGCTGTTTACTTAAATGTTTTGGAATCGGAATAAAAATGACATTAATTCCATAAAGTTGTTTACTAATTCAGCATAATCAAAATATAAACCAGTATGCTTACTAAAACGCCCTTGTCCCAAATCAAATATTATATATATATATATTTTTAATAAAATTTGATAATATATAATAGTAAGAAAAAAATTAAATTGCTTTTTTTATTTCATAGACACACTAAAATGCTTTTGTTTATTTTTTATTTTTACAAATTTAATTATTTACTTTAATATTTAAATTTTATCGCTCAAGTTGTAGTTCATTCTCTTCGGCATATGCATGGAGTTGTGTATAATGTGAATGAGCATGGAAATAAAAAAAGTAAGGAGTTGTGCATAATTAAACTAGGGTTAATGGGTTTATAAAGAATAGTATTGGAAATAAAAAAAGTAAGTGAGGGCATAAAGGGAACAAAAGTGTCTTTCCGATTGCTTGGGCAATCAAGAATTGGATTACCACCTACATCTAAAAATCTAATTCCACCAATACAAGGAATTGAATTCCAAAATTTGTGTGGGCTCCACTGCTTTATTGATTCCTCAATGTTTAGTAAACATCAGAGTACTCCATAATCAGAATTCAATTCTACATTTTTATTTGGATTACAGATACGTAAACACGTCCTAAATTTAATAATAAAAGAATTAAAATTAAAAAAAATGTTTTCTTCCGAAAAATGCGAAAACAATTCTATATTATGGTTTGTGGGATTCTTCTTTTGTACCGGAGCCAGCTCAGATGATCTGACTTATTTCCGAAATGATGAAAAGTGGGCCCACACGCACCCAGTCAACCAACTGCTAATGTATGCAGCGCGCGCACGTGATGACCCACAGAAGGACCTAGTGGGATGGAAAGCAACCGCGGAAATTGGAATTGACAAAATAGCCCCTATGTGATTGAGAACCAAGAGGCAAATTTAGAAGGTTCTAATGGACAAATTACGGAGGGACCACCGCATGCTATTGGGTGCTAGGAGCAGACGTAGGTGGCTCCTCGTGATGCCCCGACGTCGTCTTGCTGCTGCCAACAATACACAGAAACATGTGTGTGAATGTGATGTTGAAAGAAAGAAAAGGCCACTTTGTTGTTTGTTGCCCTACTGAATTTGGAAGAATTTTTTTAGAGAGCCAAAAATACGGAAGGGGCGCGGGTTTAGTCTTATAATACGACCTAATTAACTAAGTGTCGTAATATAAATGGTTGAATTTTTTTACAATATCCAATAACTTATATTGTAACATTTGGTGTATCAAGCATGGTTCTAGACACACTGAAAAATTTCTCTGAATTTGGGGCCAAGTGTCCATTTCATTCATTTGGACATCCAATGAGGGAATTCTGGCAAACAACCGGTGAAATATTTTTTAGTTATGTGCCGATTCGATACTTAAATTATTACTTTAGTGAAAACTAAATCTCTATATATACTTTAATTTTTTTTAGAAAATTAAGTCATTAAACTTGCTAAGAACTGTCAAATTCTCCCAACTGTAACTTTAAGATTAATGCTATTATATTCAATTTCTATACGCGACATGTAACGGACTTTGAAAGGTGAGAGATTGTGCCGACACCGATGCATGCGACCTGGTCAGAGTTGCAGTTGAGGTAGCTAATAAAGTGTGACTACGTGTAATTGGGCTGGAAGTTGGGCTTTTGAAAAATTGAGTAAGGCCCATGTATACTCGCACCCAAACTCACGTCCATGCATTCGGCCGAAACCAAACCCACGATGGCATGATGATGATGATCATGTATGTATGTATGCATATATATATATATATTTTTTTTTTTTTTTTTTTTAAAGGAAGACAACTGGTGGTAAGCCACCCTTTTCGGTTGGAAATATTCACAAAGACATTTCATCATTTCATGGCCACAAGTCTGACTTCCATACCAGCAGCGAGATGTATGCATGTATTTGGCCGAAACCAAACACATGATGAGATGATGATGATGATGATAACCATACATGTATGTATGCATGTACACGGCAGAAACTATGTGATCGATTAAAACCAAATACCACCAAGAGTGAAATAGTTGGAAATTTAAATCCAATCGATAAATAATTTCATATTTTAGCATAGATGCGTGATCATTTTATTTTCTAGCGTGGATTAATGAAACTAGGATCAATATCACTTGTTGGAATTTTCCGCAATTGAACTCTCCTTTAAATTAAAAAAAAATACGTTGATTGACTCTAATCTAATATTGAAAATATTTTGTAATCTCGAACAAATTACTCGTTTTTTGTTAATAAATTAATGGTGCACACGTTATGATTAGAATTGTTCATATTTTAAGTTACATTTATCTTAGAAAGTAAACGGAGATCATCTCGTCATGCACACGTAACAAACAAATGGACAAATTTGGTAACAATTAAGATTTTTATGATGAACATTTCATTTATTTAATATATAATAACCAACGATATACAATTTAATTAATTTTTTAGCAAATGTGATCTGTAATGATGATTTTGTTGTTGTTATGCAATGATATTCTACTCTTTTTGTTTTGTTTTTGTTGGAAGGATATTTACCAAGAGTGAGGAATTTACGCTTGTAATGAGTTATTTATAATTTAGATATCAAACTCGTCATTCATGACGTGAGTCAAACTTACCATCTTCTATTTTACAATACTACTAGAGTCTAGATCGTAGGGCATTACCACAATCTCTTTTGGTTTTGAAGCGGAGTAGAAATTTTTTAGTGTGCTGGTAACACGGCCTACTATATTAAATGCCAGATAAATTTGAATTTATTTTTTCAAGCTTATAACTAATAATATTATGACACTTAGTATATCGAGCCGTATTTATCGTAATTGACATTAGTCGACCAAAAAGACAAAATTAAAAAAGAAAAAAAAGAGCAAGAGAGAGAAAGAGTGCTGATTTCTTTCTTTGGGAGCTCTGCATTGCTTTTTGGGTGATTGGCTACTTTCTCTCTTCTCGCGCTCATCCTCCTCGAGCGAGAAAGAGAAACACAAAACACAAAATACACACACAAACAACAAAAAATCCACCAATCTCCATTTCCAATTTCCACCAAGGACCACACACCCAACCCTAATCTGCATTTCTGTGCTCCAAACCCTAGCCTCCTCGTCTCTACCCATTTCTCAATTTCCTCTAACCATCGATCGCCTCTGCCCAATCCCCAAAATTCCGCCTTTGGCACCGCCGCCGACGAACTTCCCTCCGCAATCGGTTTCGATTTAGGGTTCGGGCTTGTTCGATGCTATCTCTCTCCCCTGACAACTCCATCGCCGGTTCGCTTACGCAGGTTAGCTCGCTCTCTCTCTCTCTCTCTCTCTCTCTCTCTCCAATTTCTTCGTTTCGCGTTCGTCAAGTTTTCTTCGGAGTTAATGCTTATAAACACGTCTTGTGTTCTATTGGGGTTTCTTGTTTTACACGGAAGAAATGATTCGTGTTGTTTTAATATTTGCACGAATTGGGGGTTTGTTGTTGCTTTGTTTAGTATTTAATATTGTGTGATATGGCTGTGGTTAGGGTTAGGGCAATTAGGCAAATGGAAGGGTCGGGTGGCAATCTTGACTCGTTAAGAGCTTCTCCGGGAAGCAGTAGTAATAGGAGATATGGGGTGTTATCGGCTTCCAATATCATTCGGGCGCCAATTTCTACCTTATTGGAGTACTCGGGTATTCTCCGCGGCCGCTCTAATCACCAAGAAGCTGAGTCTTTGATTAACGGGCGTAGCGCTGCTGCGTTCAGGGATCACCATCATAGTCAGCTAGACCAATCACCGACGACAAGCAATGATGGGGAGGTTTCTATTAGGATAATTGGTGCAGGGGAACAGGAGCATGATAGGGAAGGACCTGGGATAGTATCTGGACCGCTGAGGGAAGTTACTGTACCGCCAAATGATGTTTCTGCACCACCAATGGCTGGAGTGGCTACTGTAGCGTTGGGAACTGAGGTTGTGGGTCAGACAGATGGCAGAACAGATCGTACTTCGGGAGAGGGCATTCCCCAATCGTTAAATGGAAGTGCTGATGGAGAAGGAGGTGATGGAACAGGGGCTAATGGCAGGGATTCTTCTTACCAGAGATATGACATTCAGCAGGCTGCTAGGGGTATTGAACAAGTCCTGCCCTTTTCCTTGCTTCTATTGGTGGTCTTCATCCGCCAGCATTTGCAAGGTCAGTGTCCTGCCAATGTATTATGCGTTTGTAGATTGTGCTTTTCTATTGTAAAGGATAAATGTTTAGTTTACTCATAGTGATAATTGGGTTGATGACACTCTTGGGAATTGTCAATTCCATGCTGTTCTGGTTTGCATTCTGATTCATAAGTAATAACCTTTTCAAGATTGGTATATATTTGAGATCCTAAAAAGAGTTGATTTCTTTCTTATGAATTAAATGCACATGCTTGCATTTGTACACTAATGGTTATTAGTTGCAATGAACTATGGCAATTAAAAAGTTCACCTTTGTAGGCCATTTCTCCCTTCCTTTTAAATTAGTGACCACTTTTCATTTTGCAATCATTACAGGTTTCTTTGTTACAATTTGGATTGCTGCTGTTATGTTCAAGTCAAATGATATATTGAGGAAACAGACAGCTTTGAAGGTATTTGCAATATGATTTTATTTATTTTTCCAACTTTCAGCAGATGCTCTTGTGTTTTGCATAGTCATTTTTTGTGTTAAGAATAGACATGGTTGGTGGCTGCAGGGAGAGAGGAAAATCACGGTTCTAATGGGCATCTCTCTTGCATTCGCATTGCATGTGGTTGGTGTTTACTGGTGGTTCCAGAATGACGATCTTTTGTACCCACTAATTATGCTTCCTCCTAAAGTTATACCACCCTTCTGGCATGCTGTTTTCATCATCACGGTGAATGGTAATAATCGCTCCTCCCAACTTGTTATCGTGGCAGTTCTCTCATTCTGCGGCAGTGTTCTTATGATAACAATGATGAGTTAACATTTAGTTCATCTCTATATTTCAAACCTCTTCAACAAAGGATGATCCACTCTTCAGAAATAGTTGTTTTTATGTACAGTGTGAAACTTTTTTTGGTGTGCAATTACAAATATTTTTTTTAGCTTTCTGTTGTCGCAGATACCTTTTATCAATATGAAAGACGGAACACTGAAGTTTACTTTTACCTTGAATTTTGTTTGCCTTTTGTGTACTGATGCTTGATTATACTGAAATCATATTTTGAGCACTCTGCAAATCTCAGACAAAAAAGAAAAAAACGCTCCACACGTGTTTCTTTATCAAGGGTTCAGATATAATACTTTTATTGTTTTTGTTATCAGATGCATCTTCATTCCTATTTCTGTGTAAATTTCGTATGGAAAACTTATGTTAGTTAATTTTAGAGCCCTTGTGATGCTTACTTCACATTGGTTATTTTCAGACTCCTTGGTCCGTCAGGCAGCAATGGTGCTGAAGTGTTTGATATTAATGTACTACAAAAACAGTAGAGGCCGAAACTATCGTAAGCAGGTGAGGTAATAAGTAGTTAAGCAAAACTACATTCGGGTATATTATTTTCTTTTGGAAAAGAATAAGTTAGGAGCTGGCTCAAGAGAGCTTATGGCTGTTTTAATTACGTCTCATCTTCATTTGATTTCTAGAACAAAAATGAAGGGATATGTTCATATAATTGATGGTTTTATCCCTTCTGTTTTCTCCATAATCTCTTGAGTCTTGACTGAAGAAGTCCTCTTATATAGGGTCAAATGCTTACTCTGGTTGAGTATCTACTGCTCTTGTACCGTGCCTTGTTGCCAACACCAGTGTGGTACCGGTTCTTCTTGAACAAAGAATATGGGAGTCTCTTTTCGTCACTAATGACAGGGTTATATTTGACTTTCAAGCTAACATCTGTTGTCGAGAAGGTAATAGTTTGTGCTCCTGATATCTCTCAAGTTTTCTGACCTCTTCATTAAGAACACGTTCCAGAAGAGTTGTTTCTCACTTGTCATTACTGTTTATGCCTCTCCCTTGTTCGTTGTGGTTAGGTGCAATCCTTCTTTGCTGCATTGAAGGCATTGTCACGAAAAGAGGTGCACTATGGGGCATATGCAACTTCAGAACAGGTAAACCGGATCTCTTTTTCTACCACCATAATTTACCATGCAATTGAACTGTATAGGTCCAAATTACATGGAAGTTAGTAGGATATCAGTTTCTTCCCAAATATGTAACAAAATTTTGTGCTAATGTACTCAATCATTCTATTATGCTTGTTTGTTGGCAAGTGTGGATCTTTGTGTAGCACATCAAGAATATAAGCAACATCTGACTGATGAGCTTAATCCTTTGCAAGGCCTCTTTGTTAGGATATGAGCATCGAGGCCTTCCTTTTTTAATATTGTCAGCAGTTGTTAGATTATTAATACAATCTAAACGTCTTTAAACCAGCTGAATGGAATACTTGAAGTTGAGCTAACTACTCTATTTTTGAACTTCACTGTATTTAGGTTCTTTTACTATCGTCGGCTAAGAGTTTGTTAGATTTGTCTTAAGAAAAAAATATCTGAACATAACTTTTTTGCCTTGGGGTTTCAAGGTTTTATGTGTTTCATTTTGGTAGTTATGAAACTTTCATGGGAGAGTTTGTGGTTCGTGCATTCTAAGTTGTCGGTTGTTTGATGCAGGTCAATGCAGCAGGTGATCTATGTGCTATTTGCCAAGAGAAGATGCATGCTCCTATCCTACTTCGATGTAAACACATCTTTTGCGAGGACTGCGTATCAGAGTGGTTAGTTTACTTTTATTATGCATTCGATAACTCTTTGTGCTAATTTCCTAGTTACCTGTTGAAAAAACAATCCCTACGCTTCCAGTTATCCTGCATTGCAAGTTTAACATCTTTGAGAAACAAGGTAGATTGTCGATTGCTTGTTTTCAATGATTTACAAGTTAAAATTTGTTCCAATTTCCATGGAATGGGATAATATCCGAGTAATCCCCACAGAATTAACGGACAGCCATTCATTCACTTTGCTTATGGTACCCGTTTTGGCTGCTGACAGACTCATTTTTTCTTTTTTTCTTTCAGGTTTGAGAGGGAACGGACGTGTCCGTTGTGCAGAGCTCTGGTAAAACCTGCAGATCTAAGATCATTCGGCGATGGATCAACGAGTTTGTTTTTCCAGCTGTTCTAAAGCCGTCCACTGTAAAGAAAAAAAGAGAGGAGTTTTTCTGTTTTGGAGTTCCAATTCATATCCAAAGCAGCCATCTCCCAAATCCATATCCTCATAACTATACACTGGTATATTCGATTGTCATTTTTGCTCCGCCTTGTTCACGGGTTTGCCCTCGCAAAAAAATTACAACGGCTGGGTATAACCGAACTGGGTACTGTTTATACGTTGTATCGAGCAAAGGTCAAATGTATGTAATGCTCCATATATAACTGTTTATTTGCCGTGGATCATACCTTCCTTCCTCCCCTTAGACTTTGTCGAACGTATTTGGTGAATTGGCATCACGTCGTCCGCCAATTGTGAGGCAAAGCTAACTTTCCACCACCTATTTTTCCACCTCTTTCTTTACAGCTTTCCCTCTCTAAATTGTATATATAGGATGGCTCACCAGCACCCCTCTCCAACCTTGATCGATCTGAATGTAACATATTCGATTACACCAGAGAAGCGAAATCTCTCTCTCTCTCTCGTTCGCGTTCTTTCGCTTGATTTGAGAACTCTCGACGGCATTTTGATCCAGATATGGTGATGGCAAAGAGAGGGAGGTACATGCACAACTGGGTGGAAGTTGCACCACCGCAGGTTATCTCCCGTGAGAAATGTTCGAGTTTTCCGAAACTGGAGACCATTGTCGAAGAGGGGTCCGAGAGCTTTGAGATTCTGCCGAAGCGGGTGGTGTTTCTTCTTCCGGTGTTCTTTTCTCTTGTTTCTTACTTGATATTGTATCGGCAGATCGTTTGATCTACCTTTTGGGGGAAATAGATTGGCAGGTTAGAATGCGAGGCGTTTGATCGCTTCTGAAAATGTTATCATGCAATTTGTAGTATTTGAATGTGACCCATGCATTCCCATTGTTTCTAGCCATTATGTTGTTTTATTTTAACTTCAAAGGAAAAATCGTATGATAACATATCGAGGAGAAATTCTAGTAGGATTGTCTAGTCCGGTGTAGGTGAACGGTCTTAATCATTTGAGCTATAAACTCCGTAAAATTGACAATATTATTCAAGAACAAATAGCGTGCATGCTGGTTGTAGTTTTGTTGTACAATGAAGGACGTGGAAAACAACTTTTGATCTTGTGCGAAGAGGCCAACAGGGTACTAGAAATAAACCCAACCTCAAAGAAATTAACAAAATATTACATCCACGGATTAATAAAATTGCAGGCGGAAGAAGAATGACCCCTCCCGCCTTTATCCTTCCTCTCCCCCTCTCTCCAAGAGGAAAAGGAAGGGGAAAAAATTAAAAAAAATGCTAAACTAATCTTTAATCTTTAACGAAAACGAAAAGTGAATGCTTAAGCAGAAGCAGGAGGTCTTTTAGAATCTTCTGCTGCTACGGAGAGTGTTTTAGTTGCGGCTTCTGCTGTTGAAGAATGTGTTTTGGTAGCAGCTCCTGCTGAAGAAGGTGTTTTAGCATGTTCTTGCTTGGGAACTAAGGTATCGAAGCTTGGCATGGCCTCATTCGCAAAAACGTCTTTATTTTCTTGTGGCTTGGTGAGGATAGGAGATATTTCTTTAGTAACTGGTGAGGTTGCAGATGAAGAGTCCTCTGGAGGCGGGGATGGGGGTGCTGATGAAGGCGGGGAAATGGAGAGCATCCTGGAGACGCCGGTGGGGCTGGTTAAGGGGTTAACTTCTGTGACTTCTTCATCATCCATATACACAACATCCTGCATTGTCAGCTGGTGGTATTCAACAATTTCCCTAAGGAACCGATTCTCGCGTGCATAAACTGAATTCTCGTTCGCTAATCGAGCCTTCTCTGCCAGAAGTGTCTCCAGTTGAAGGCGGATCTGATACAATCCCATATATATACACGTCAGAAACATTTCTAAATTACATTTAGTCGCACTACTCGAGTGATATTCTAATTTAGACTAGACTAAAGGAGGGAGAATTCGAACTTGGATGCAGATGGGGGCACACTGTCCTAGCCAAATTGCAGTTAGTCCTACTATTCTACTTGTGGATCGGTAACACAGTACAACGAAAACCGAACAGAAAAACAGAAACCTACCAAGTCATCATCTGCTCTGTGGTTTCCCTTGTCACGATTCTCGCGAAGGCGTTTATTTTCTTCTTCTAGTTGAGAACATCGTTCCTTCGCAAAAGCCAGATCTGCCTTAACGGTTTTCAGCTCCCGAAGAAGTAATTTTGCTTTGGCAGCCGTTGCCATTGCAACCTGTGACCCAAAACAAACACCATTTATGCATTCATCTGGCTCAATTCGAGTCTAAATAAATCGAAAATGAAAAACTGAGAATCACATCTGAAACACTTCATCAACATATAATTCAACTGAAGTAAGACTCATTTCGTCTTAAGATTACGCAAGCCAGTCACACACAACTACATAATTGCCACCTTACGTCGCGTGATGCCTTGAGTTGAGTATCGTGGTTCTTAGGCTGCAACGGTGAACTGTTCTGGTTCCCATAATAAGAAGCTTGATCATGCGCATCAGGATTGTCTCCCCTTCGTTTAATTTGCATTTTGATGTCGGCTGTCTTATTCTCCACTATCGTTCGACCTTCCTGAAAACCAAACACAAAACACAAGCCACACTATGAACATACTTGTTTCCCATAGTACTAAACTTGACATCCATCCATTATCTATAGTTAGCAAGGAATTTTAGTTACCTCGAAAGCTTTCTCAAACGTGTCCCCGAGCTGATTAAGGGAAGTTGTGATTCTATCCAAGCCCTTTCGGAGTGCAGGATTTTCCGTTCTTCTAGAGTTGTCATATGACTGATAATATGGTTGTTGTTGGAGCTGTCTCCGAAAGGGAAAGATGCCAAACAATCAAGCGACGAAGCTCAACAATCAAAAGAACGCATGTTGAATGCAAAATGTTTATCAAACGGACCCTAAATTAACGGTGGATGAGGTGATTGTATTTGTGATTTCATACAAAGATCAAGTTGGAAGTTCACCTGAGTGCCACCGGAGGCAATAGAGGGCTGCGATACGAGTCCTCCAGCCGCATCATCTTGTGGGAATTCACCATCCTCTTCGAGAATGGCCTTCGCTTTCCTAGCCAGAACCCCCCAAAACCCAGATTTTGCGGATGCGTCGTCATAGGCAGAGAAGTCCTGCATTATTTATAGCAATGATCACAATCACCTCTTTTTTTTTTTCTTTCCATAAGACTACTTTAATCTACATCGAATGCTTCGAACTCTGACATAATATCCTAACCAACTGACCTAACTCATGCAACCACAATTCAATGCAAATAAAACCAACCCAGACGAGCAGATCAGATCAGAAACCAGAGAATTATTACAAAGTTCAAAATTTCAAAAAGATGAACCAAAAGGTCCGCACAAGTTAGAACAAAAGGAAACCTGGGATCGGTTTTTGCGTTCAACGGAAAGCGCAGAAGCACGGATCGCCTGAGCCGCGAGAGACGAAGAACCGGAGAAGGACGATGAAGACTGCAGAGGGGAAGATGAGTTCGGTGAAGAACTGTTGTCCGGCGGGCGATGAATGATCTCTTCTTTGAAGGTTGACGACCTTGTTATCCCCTGCCTTCTCCTGTACGCCATTTCCGCTGCCGGAGTTTTATGTATTAGTTGTTAAAGAGGTTGACTGGATTTTGTATGAGTTCCATTTCCGCTGCCGCAGTGACAACGACGGAGGAGGAGGAGGAAGGCGGTTGGTTTTTTCTTTGGGTGGCGTAAGTAACTAACTCTTCCGCCTTTTCTTCTGAGAGCAAAACAAAAACCGAAATATGAAATGAATGAATGGATGTTAAGCCGTAAAACACACACACGAAACAGAAACAGAAAAAAATTAGCACACAGCCATCTCTCTACCATCCATTTAACTAATAAGTCACACACACTTCGAAATGCGACTATTTGAATTCACGTTTATGGTATGTTACTTGTATGAAATGGAAGAAGTTGTGAATCAACAAAGTAAGAATCGCGTATAATATCGACCACCTAAGAGCCATCTCTCTACCATCCATTTAACTAATAAGTCACACACACTTCGAAATGCGACTATTTGAATTCACGTTTATGGTATGTTACTTGTATGAAATGGAAGAAGTTGTGAATCAACAAAGTAAGAATCGCGTATAATATCGACCACCCAAGTTAAATATTTATGAAGTTGTGAATCAAGAGAGTAAGAATCATGTATAATATCGACTGCCCTAAGTTAGATATTTATTTAATTACGAATTTCAATGATTCACATACTTTTAGAAATATGTGATAGTAAATGCAAGAGAATTGAAATAAGAAGTGGACAATCTCATTTATGTGTTTACTAACAATCAAGGAATGAAAAAAATTAGAGTAGGATTCTCTTCTCTCCAAATTCCTCCCGTCCAACCCCCTCCTCTCTCACTTTCCTTTTGTTTTTCCTTTCTCTATAAAGATACAGAAATCAACATCAGATGTTAATGTGCCTTAATAGTAACCGTCGATGTGCCTTAATAGTGACCGTTCAAGTAGAACTGGAGGGGAGAGGAATTTCGAGAGGAGATAATCCTACTTCAAAAAAAAAAAAAAGTGTATCCACATTGATTTTGGGTATCTCGTACATTCTCATATTTGAAATACCAATGTATGAGATTGCCAAGGAGAGTTGTTTATCTCATACAAATTCCTTTGTACCCCTATTTCATGGTAAGTAAAAAAATCCTAATAGTCTAATATAAATACCATGTATACGTGAACACAGAACTTTACCTAATAATTTAGAGGGGGAAACATGTTGTCATGTGTTGTTGTGGGATAATGACAACTCACGAATGCATTGGAAGTTCGGAAGTGGCCCGTTGTAAAAAGGACTTTCAACAACTGGATCCCTTGGCAGCTGTTTGACGTGTGAGCCATGTTTGTACAATATATAAAGAACTAATTGCTTCATGCACAAGTAACCGTATTGGTATGCCACCCCGTCCCTGTCATACTATCTATACACACTTTCTTACTTTTCACATGCTCTCTAATCATTTATATTTTTTCATCTTCTTCAATTCTTTCGAATTTAAGACAAGAGAGGTTCCTCGTAGGGAATACACTTGTTTCGATCTCCGCAGAGCACCCTAACCCTGTTTCGAGCTTCAGAGAAAGCAACGAACAAAATAAGGATATGAGATGAGTCCGCACCAAACGCTTTGACACACACTTGAATTGAAAGATCAATTTAGGGCAAGGAAGTGGACAAAGAATTTCAACCAACAAAAGCTCTGGGAGATCATCCATATTAATCAATTCGTGTTCGTGGCTTCGGCATCATCGGTTGCTTTTTTATTGGGGTAATCAATCCGTCTCCATCAACATGAATACGATGAGGACCGTCGACTTGGTGGTGAGATTGATAATCTTCACCTATATAAACAGTTCTTTTTTCTGTAGGCATCAAACCCTTCTTATGCTATATATCCCACTCATCGTAACGCAGGCCGTGTTATTAAACCCGGAACCCTAAATCCTAAACCAAAATATAGTATTGAAAAAAGAGAAGAGAAAAACCCTACCTTGGAATTATTCTTGTTTTTGAAAAAACAAAACTAATGGGAAGGAGAATTCGAATTTGGTGTAGAGGAGCACACAACTCTAGCCAACTTGACGAATTCCATGTTATTAAATGGTAACTTGACTTTTTATTAATAGTGCCAGAAAGGGAAAATTTGGAAAAATAACCAAATTTTAGACTAAATATAGAGTTATAACCACTGTTTTAATTTTATTATAATTATAATCAAAATTTGACGTAAAAGTACTAATATACCCTAAATATTAGGGTTTCTCACAACAACCAAAACACAACATTTAAACAACCTTATTATGAGGAATTAATCTCTATCGCTTTATTTTCATTATTCTCTGCAACTTTTGAACTACTTCCTGCAACCTTCCGGATTTCTGCACAATGAAAGCATGAATCAAAAAGCAAAACCAGCAACATTTTTGCCATATCCTTTCTATGCCTTTGCAAGAGTTAGAGATTTTGGTGGCCAAACAAAATTTGACTCCATAAGTAGCAGGAAGGCAAGGACTACGGGTGGAGGACGATTGCCCTCCTCATCACATTGAGAGTATGCTCGAAAAAAATGTTTTACTTCACACTGGCCCCTGGAGGATTTTCTGTGGTATATTTATTTGGTCTTAATTTATGTTTTACTCATTTTCCAGAAAGGCTACGCTTTCAAAGCTCCCCTTCTCACAAAATCAATGGTTTTCTCTATATATTTTCCAAGTTCTCTGATATTTTAGGTTTTCCATGGAAGCTATTTTAATTCATGTTTTAATTCTGGTTTAAAGGTTGCAGATATCTAAAGGTGTAGTTAAAGATCGTAGACATTTGAAGGTAGTTTAAATCTCTATCTATATTCAAATCTGCAATATTATAAGTTGGGTTTTGGTTGTTGTGAGAAACCCTAACATTAAAGATATATTAGTACTTTTACATCAACTTTTGGTTATAAGGGGTGGGTTCGGTACGGTTACCGTACCAAAACCCTCGTACCAATTACCGTACCAAACTTTCGGTTTGGTAAAATCTATTACCAATACCATACCAAACTTTCGGTATACCGAAGTTCGGTATTGCCAAATGTTCGGTTGGCATGGTATGGCTTGTTTTGGGACAAAATTTGTTTTGGCTTTTTTAACCCAATTCAAGTGCAAAACTTTTTTATTGTACCTTTATCTAATACTTTGTAGCCTAAATTCATCTATTATTCATCATTCACAATTCACACACACAATAATTCAAATGATGCATCAAGATTCATGATGAAAATTAAATTTACAATCCAAATAGAAGCTACGAACCAAAACAAATAGAAGTTTCCCTCATGCTAAAGATCGTCTCTATCCTCCATTGGTTCAAACACACTTCTAGAACTTTCCCAATGTCTTCTCCCTTATGACTTGTGATCTTTATGAAGTTTATAATCCGTTTGTGCAACTTTCATTCCCTATCCATGAAGTGAGCGGTAACTACCATGTAATTAATGTTTTGTACCGATGTTCAAGTATCGGTTGTGATACTTACCCTTTGATTATGCATTGCTTCAAATAACTTAGATTTCTCCAACACATATAAATCACACACACTAGCCGCAATCTTCTTCCTATTTGGAATCTTGAACCGAGGTTGAGCCTCTTTCATCATATCAAATTATTATAAATATGTGTTATATAATTATATATTATATAATTTATAAATTATATATTATATTATATGTTCGGTACGGTAAGGTAATACCGTGGTAATGATATCCATTACCAATACCGTACCATGAAATTTCGGTACGGTACAATACCGTACCATTACCGATTGGCACAAAAAATTTAGCACAAAATCGGTATGGCACGGTTGGTAATTCGGTTGGCACGGCAATTTGGCAAAAAAATCCACCCCTTTATAATTATCATAAAATTAAAATGCTGGTTATAATTTTGCATGGGATCTAAATTTTGGTTATATTTCCAGATTTCCCCCATAAAATGGACTTTTTCATTAATGGATTTCAGTACAGAAAGTTCCATATCTCTTTTCACTTTTAGAATTTAACTAGCTTTCTCACAAGTTACAGCTGAAGAGCTAAATCAGTGTACTGACTCTGATAGTTTTTGTCAGCTGGGAAGATCATCAGATCTGCACCTGAACCTTTCTGCAAGATTCATCGATCTTGTCCTGAAGAATTTATCCTACCAAGTTGGGCTCTCAAATATGTGGAAGATCAAATGTGAACTGTTGAGCCAGTACTGGCCTGCCTTGGTCGGGTTTCGACACTTGGGTTGTCTCAGATTTTGTCTGATTATCATCTCCTCTCGAATGCAATGAACTTAGTTTGTTCTTAGTTTTGCTAAAACTAGATAATCCCACGTTGTTCCTCAACCTTGGTTCCAACAAATTTGACTGAGAACTATAAGGTTTGTGCTTGATTGACCGACTTCCATTGGTTCAATATCAGCGGTTTTGAGTTGTTGCTGGTGTTTGTGAAGCCAGAAACTGAGCAACTGTTGTCTGCAAGTCCAGTACGATGAGCTTTCAAGGACGAAAAATCCAACTGAATCTCATTTCTTTGATTCGCATGAATTTCATTGCATTGGACTTTCCCTCCAACTGTAGGACTTTGGATACCCATAAGAGGAAGGGAGGGATATAATCAGAGTATTTTAACGAAAATCTCCCGGTACTGTTCATTTTAACGAAAAACCATATTTTTACGCTAAAAAGTCAATCATGGTACTATTCACTTTACCCTTTATTTTGTCCTTACTATTAAAATTCAAAGTTTTCAAACAATTTTCATTAGTTTTCCTATATAAATATTATTGTTTTCACATCTTTTATTTGTTATGCATTGTGATCACATACGAAACGCTTTTTATATAGAGTCACATTCTTGAAGAACGAAAAAAAGAAGAAATGATTGCATTTTTGAAAAACATCATATAACATCAATTACACTACTATTCTCAAATCTTTCTCACTTTTAGCTAAAGCATGTGAGCATTCATTCCCACAACTTTTACAACGGGAATTATATTTTAGTAGTGTGAAGACAATAATGTCTTGGGATTCGGACATCCTTAAAAAGAAATGAGAATATGAACATTTTACCTTTTAGAAAATTAGAGTGCCTATGGGTCTAGCTAAATGACATGTTATTGGCACAGTTGATGTTATGGGTGCTGGTACAAGTGTCAAATTATTCTATTGGGTTGTTAATGGGTATCCATTAAGACCCATTTAATTTGATATCACCGTAATATAAGGATGAAATTGATAGTGCTGAAGACGATGTAAAGTTAAATCAAACTAAAAGAAGCGTAACGAGTATCCGTGAACAACCCAGTTTTAATGAAGATAGAAATGGGAAGGCCCAATGGGGCCCAGAAACGCAACTCACCATCCTAGGCGACAAAAGCTACGACCGTAAAGCCTAATCGCAGGCCCTACTGTTAGTACGGTGGCGATCCCTGTATTCAATCATTCGATGCGTGCTTTAGGTGGAAAAGACCAAAAGAGATGGACGGTCCTGATCCAATGCGACGTGCGCCATGCGATCACACACCCTCGATTCGACTTGCGAGCCTTTTCTTTCAACCTCGCATCGTCGCCTTCATTCCTCCAACGACTGACTGAGTGAGAGTTGAATTGAAGAGGTCTTCGTCTTCCCCAAATCTCCATTTTTTCAGAAATTTCACTGCATTTCTCAGACGGAGCTTTCTGTAATGATCCGAGCTGTTGGGGGTTTGGAAAGATCGGAGTAATTTTGCTTTTGGGTTTCGTATCTCTGGTAATTACTCTAACCCCCCACAAGATTTGAAATTTCTGCTAACCCCGTTTGTAATTTGATTTTTCTGGTATGAATTTACCTTTATGGCAATTTTTTGTACGAATTTGTGTAAATTGCTGCCATTGTGTGTAAATTGGTAGAAAAATTGGGGTTTCAGATGCAAATGACGAGATGGGTAATTGTGTTTTTACAAGAAAAACCGGAACTTTTTGTTGAGGAAGAAATTGACACTGATTTAAAGATGGATTTCCACTTTCATGGGCAATTGTAATTACAGTTTGCTGTCTGAGATTACTGTCAGCTCAACTTTTGTTTTTCTTATGATTTCTAGGCATTTAAATTAAAAATGTTAGCTTCAATACGTCGAATTTTCGGGCTTTTTTCCTTTTATCATTAAGAGTTTGGGGAATTTCTCAAATAATTTGTGTCCACATTTATTATTGGTTTTTCTTTTGGTCAATGGATTAATGGTTAGGAGTTTAAATTTGAGCTCATTGTGTTTATGAGCCTGCTCGGCTATCACCTAGCTGCTGGTCTGCGTGTTTTCTTTCGAGTAATCATCCTATGTTTTCAGATATTACTTTGCTTCTCTTTGTTTATGTTGTTGCGGTCTTTATCAGTTTCAGATGGATGCACCCTCACATAGATTCTTGGAAGAGTTGCTTCAATCCGCTGTCGAAAATCATGAGGATGGTGGCGTTGTCAGTGAACAATCTGTGCAGCCTGCAACATGTGCTCTATGCCAAAGGGCTATTTTGCCCGAGAATGAGGCGACTGAAGATGTTGAAATTATGTGTGGGGACTGTAAATTTCTGTACCTTGAAGATCTTGGTACTCCCTCACATGATTCTTATCAGAGGACGCCGCCTACGAGAAGAAGAGCTAGGACCAGCAGTTCTGAGTCACTTGAGAATACTTTTTTGCAACAATTCTCGCATGTGATTAATCTGGTGCGGCAAAACCAATCCCCTGGCGCTGGGCTTGAGGAACTACCTGTGGATGGTGATTCTGCTGCTACGATACCGCGGCGCACAAGTAACCGTACTACACCAAGTGGGTCTAGAAGATGGCGGCGGGTACTCTCGGATACTGAAAGTGAGGGTTACGAAAATGTGGATTCTCTCTATGGGGAAACTGAATCAAATCTCAGTTTTGGTCGGTACAGGGTATTTCATGGTGAGAATGATGCAAATTCTTTTAGTGCGTATGGAGGGGACTCTGATGCTTCTGTGGACCTACATGGTTTCCTAGATATTGAAACAGTTATTCAACCAGATGAGGGAAGTGCTTATGATAGTGATACTGACATTGACCCAATGCATGCTGGTCTTAGCCAGTGGAACTCAGATGACGCTGAGGACGATGATGATGAGGGGGATGAAGAAGATGATGAATGGGAAGAAGCTGGTGTTGAAGTAAACATAGTTGAATCTAGGGAAACCCCAGGTGGTCGGCTTCGTAATCTTTTAGTTTCGAGTCCCGGCAGAAGTAATGGCCCATCCAATTGGCGCCAACAAATATATTCTCCTGAATCTGAGGGTATGATTCGTTATAGAATGAGGGGAACCAATCAAGTATATGACCTCTTTTCTAACGTGGAAGAATCAGAGTTGCTGCCTTATGTTGGAAATTCTGGTGATTATCTTGATGCTAGAGGCTTTGAAGAATTGCTCGAGCATCTTGCTGAGGTTGATAGCTTAAGACGAGGAGCACCTCCAGCTTCTGTTTCCCTTGTGAATAATCTGCCTCGTGTTGTCATTAGTAAGGAACATAACAAGCATGCTGACTTAGCCTGTGCAATTTGCAAGGATGTATTGCCAATTGGTACCGAAGTGAATCAGCTTCCCTGCTCTCACCTGTATCACTCTTCCTGTATTTTGCCATGGTTGAGTACACGGAATACTTGTCCACTCTGTCGATATGAGCTACCAACAGATGACAGAGACTACGAAGAGGGGAAACAGAACGTTGGTGCTAGAGCGGAGATCCACAACGTCCGGCAGCAGAATGCAAGTGAGGACAGTTCCTCCGGTGCTTTCAACAGAGCTGATGAAGATGAGGATGAAGAGCATGAGCAGAGTGCAGAAAATAGGGAACCAGCCACTGATGGCTCGAGAGGAGAAAATGGGCGGGGGAGATGGTTTTTTCTCGCTGCTGCTCCAATTGTCAGTCTCGTGGGGATTGTTCTTGTGCTGTGGTTAGGAAGTCCCCTGTTGGAAAGAAGACGACTGGCAGGAAACCAGAACTTTGCCAATCAGGCCCGCCACCAGAGTCATGTCACCGGCGCCTCACCCCACCACAGGGAGAACAGAAGCCGACCATGGTGGTCACTTTTCTGAGGGGAATTCTTGAAAATGTAGTAAATATCTATCTAAATTTGGTGTTTCTGCTTTCCCGAGTCCGGACTATTGTCTATTTGACCTGTAGCTGTCGTTCTGTAGCAGACCTTCAGTGAGGTTTTCGGATTGTTGTCGAATCATGTATAAATTTGTTCCTTTTTAAATGTACCTGTTCACGTTTTACGACCAAATGTGAGTTTAGTGTTCAATGTAGTGCAGGTTGAACTTTCCTCACACCTCTCCTTGGATATGGATTTTGTTTGATCAGATTCTAAACGAGCACAGCAAGTTTTTTTCTATTCGATTACTTACCGACATTCTGTTTTTTGATTAATTAAGGACGGGCATTCGGACTTGGGATCTTGTCCGCATCGGAAGAGAAGTACCACTAAACCAAGTTTTAGCTGGTTTTTTGACATCTGATTTTCCCTTAAAATAAATGACGTATATACACAACCCAAATTGCAGTCGCACTTACATTCGTTTTACAAGATCGCCGCCAAAACTTGTAATTTAAACGGTTAAGAAAAATGAGTAGCTCAAGTAGTAAGGAGGATTCTTGCACCACAAAGTGCGACTGCAATTCGATTCCCTCTCTCCAACGTTGCTTGCTTGAAATGTAAAAAGTAAAATCACTTTGCAGGGCATCAAAGCTATCACCCACCACAAAGTTTCAATACTCTCCCCGATAGTTTAGATTACACTAGTGAGGAATATCGCTTGTATGAAAAAGTAGGTTGAGGTACAAGACGATCTATTATTTTACATGGCCGTAACGGATCGTCTTGTACCTTAACCTACTTTTATTTGTACTCTTTTTTGCCCTTTAAGTTGCTTAATTTGTAAAATTTTACAAAAAAAATAACTTCAAAATTCGTATGAAAAGAGAATGAGATGAGCCAAATACAGGATTATAGTCACAGACGTGTAAGGAAGAAGGGGTAGGATCTCCCCCGTTCCTAAATAACTGCTTCCACTTTACAACCAGTCGGGGCCTCATAGAAAAGGCCGAATGTAGACGACAGCTGCCCTTCTACGGACCTGAAAAATTAATGGACGTAAATGGCAGCTGTCACAACAAAATTAACAGCCGGGCGGGATGCTCCTTCCTCCGGCTCAGTTACTGTGAACAGGTTGACACCTTGTATTCTACATGAATGAATAGTTTCCAAGTTCAGCTATATACTCTTACGGCTATTAACATCGACTGCCGGATAAATCAATGGCAGAAGGTAGATAGGGGTGAGTGGCACAGCAACAATTTGCAAGTTCTTTTCAGAAGAGTAGGTTGAGGTACAAGACGATCCACCCGGCCATGGAGAAGATGGCGAATATGTGCACCCAGAACAGGACGGCAGCTGCCTCTCTACCACAGCCTCTTAAATTTGCAACAGCACCTGCAGACAAGGTTTGATTTGTCAATGCGAAACTTGGATGTCGATTTGAAGCACAGTCGAGCTATCTATATAACTTGAGATTTGTTACCAGCAAGGACAGATGTAGGCATTGTGTTCTGGAGCAGCAGGATAAATCGAAACATTTTGTCATTGGCAGGGAGGAAGCCAAGCTTATCGGCTAACATTACAATGCCAAGTCCTACCGGGGGCACCAAGACTAGTCGTGCAAATATAATTGCAGCAGTTGTCCGTAGACCAAGTTTTGAACTTCCCGGACCTGCAAATAACACAGAGATGTCGCAACTATATTCATCTAAAATTCAAACCAATTAGGTGGATGCTTATGACGAAGGGATGTCAACTCACCATCAATAAGGTTGCCACCTAATGCCAACAGAATGCACGGAATCATGGCTTCCCTGAAAATCACCGACATTGTGAGATTATAACAAATAAAGATTGCAATTCAACAGAATCCACAAAAGTAAGTTTTATTTCCATAGGCATCTATCACAAGCATATTTGACAAGAAAAGGTTGTAGGAATAGTACATGTTAAACGTTTCCACTATATTACTACTAAAGCTCTTCCATAATCTTGCATATATATACAAGCCAGAATAATATCAATTTTTCAAGTTGCAATTTCTCGACATAGTTTGAGTAGAATTATTGAATTATATTAACTTTTATTCATCTATCAACATCAATAAACTGTGGTTTATCTATCAATGTCAACGACCCTGGAACTCGCAGCATTCTTAAACAGCATGTGTAGTCAAGACAACCACCAAATATTATCAGCTAGAACTTAGTAAGGGTTCAACTGAGCATACCCAAGGATACTGCAGCTATCAGTGAAGAAGAAAAGTGGACCATCAGATGTAAAGATCAATTTCTTTAAAAATGGTATTGCTCCAAGTACCATGGCCAGGATCTGCAGCAAAATTGTTCATACTAGTTAGAATATGCTCGTCATAAGAATCCAACTGATAAAACTCCTTAATAAATACAGTTATTAAATTATTTTAGCAAATAAATCAAACTTACAGAAGCTATTATAGGTGGTTGGAGAACTTGTTTGAGCTTCAACTTTTCGTATATAAATACGAAGAACTTTGTAATCTGCATGCAAGTCATGACATGTAATTAGGACCGTAGTACATACTAGAGACAACTACAACACAATAAGGCAAGTAAAGCAAAATCCCAAATTTCAAGTTCAAAGCTGTTATAATTCATGGATCTACATATGAAAGTCGACAAAAATTTAAGCTGCCTATCATTGCTATCAAATTTTTGCCCCGACAACATACATCCCAACTTACCAAAATAAAAGGTATTCCTTCTCTTTTTCTCAAATGATATATTTTGCATTAGGACAGGAAGATGTTTGTGACAACACGTATAGGATTAGATGTGGATGATTAGATTCATTCTCACCTTAGGTTTATCTGTATCATTTGAGTTAGTTTCTGCATCCTCTTTAGTTTCTGCAACCTCTTCTTGACGTGTTGTCTCTTCATTATTTTCATCATTTGTAAGCAACGGAATTTGTTCAGGTGTCATGCTCGTGCTGTTTTGAGGGCTTTTGATTGGGAGATCTTTCTCCTCAATGTCAAAGGTACCTTCAGGAGGGGGGGACAGCATTTGAAATACATACGTGTATAGAATGATTGCACCAACCTATCCGGGATAATAAACAACGTTTAGTACTTTATTATAGATGATTAAATTAATGCACCGGAAAATATGAAGTATTGAATCACTGCATAACTGCAACTTGGATTCAAGTATACAAGCAGTGGTGATAAAAAAAAGTGAAATGCAAATACTTACCCACTGGCCAAATGAAATATAGGCAGTCCCATCTGCTTTACACGTATCACCGAAAGGGTTCGATTTGTCTCTACACAAAGCTGCAATTAGAACCAGTGGCACATTCCCGATGTTTCCTGCAATCAATGGTATAAGCCAACACATGATGCACAAAGGCCAAGCAGCAAAAATGCAGCTTATATAGACAACTCAATATTTCAATGTATAGAAAGGGGTTTTCTAATTCGTTGAAACTATTGATCGAAGGGGTGTCAAAAAGCGTACCTATTCCAATCTGTATAATTGTAAACTTGAAGAAGGGGTACGGTGGTCGGACAATTGATGCAACGATATAACCTATCATGGAGCCTGTAGTGCTACCAATCACGACATTCACGGGAATAAACCACCTGTAAAAAGAGAATTTTCTAGTTCAAATAAAATGCATTGGGATTTCGGCTACGGGATTACAAAAAACAGTAGAACTAACTCTTACCACTCGAGCATTTTCTTTAGGGTGATGGCTTGTCCAAGCTGAGAAAATATCAAACATGGAAGCAATAGCGAGAAGACCAACTGCAGAAAATAGTTGGAAATCAGTTATACAATGCAACAGTATATACACGAAAAGGTGGCTTATAGTGCAAAATTAGTAAGGCCTCGTTTGAGACTGCTTCTGCTCGTAAGTTCTTCCACTAGCAAGTGCTTTTATTATAAAGATGTTGAATTTCTTAAAAAAAAAAATCCAAGGGCTACGCCCACAAAGCACTTGTTTTCTTTCAAACCTAGTCAAAAGCACTTCTTACCCCATTCAAGAGTTTTCTTCCACTGGCTGGGAAGATGTTATACTTTTACACAGTAAAAACCTTTGCTATGGGAAGCACCGCGATCTTGATCGTCCCAAGTAACGATTCCCCTCCGACTTGATTCGCCAGATGCACCGCCATCAAAACCCTCTCCATGGTTTTCCCTACTTTCCTTTACTGCAGTCTCTTCAATCTATATCCCAATTCACACAAATTCCTTCTCATGAAAAACCCGAACCGGTTTTCGCACAATTCATTTCTTGCTTCAGAATAACACCCCCTAAATTTACAATCCGGGATTGTAAAAGGGGGATTTCCAGACAAAAATTCTCTCCTTTTCTGGGAAATCCACTCCTGCTCTGCAAATTATCCTTCTATCACCAAAAACAAAAACAAATAAGTAAGGAAACACCCACAATTTAAAACTCAAATCCAAGCTAAAATCCTAGTCATTGTCGAAATATAACTCTTTGGACGCAAAAACAAAAACATTATCCGAATCGATATAGAATTAATGTAAAACGGCAATCAAGTTAGAAGATATAAAACCATGTGCAACAAGGAACCCAAAAATCCCAACCTAAACTGTCGTGCTCCCCAGGTGGTAGCTGCCACGGATCCCCCGGAGAATTCGCAGCAGCCAAACCCTCTAGCAACCGGGAAACAGAAAACACACCACAAATAATAGAAAAATAAATAAATGAAACAGAACACAAACAAACGTAGGAAATGGAGAAATGAAGAATCCGAGATCGAAAAAAACTGCAAATCAAATAAAAGACAAAACAAGAAAAACCCAAAATATAAACTGAGAATCTGGGTCGTCTGAGTTTACCTACTCTTTGCTTGCTGTGCCAATCTCTCTCTGTCTCTCTCTCTCTCTCTCTCTCTCGCTCTCTTTTGCTGTTAGTTGAAGTTGGCGCTTTCGCCTCAAAATGTTCTTATTAGCTTTTTGTTAATATTTGGATTTTGGATTCTTAACGTCGAAGACTCTTGTAATGGTGCGGCTTGGTTGACGAAACTACCCCTCCATTTTCCCTTGTATTACCGAATCTAGCCCTGCCATACTTAACCGTCCTGCCGACGAGACGAGTAATGTTAAAGATTTTAAATTTATAAATTAATATATTGTATATTAAATAATATGATAGTAATACTTACTATCCTATCTAGCAACGTTATATAAATTTTAATTTTAATATTTATATAGTAAAACAAAAAATTTTAAATTTAATACTTGAGAATGATGAACAAACATGCACCTGCGAACCATGAAGAACCACGTCCGCACCTACGGTACTTCCACGCAACTGCATGTAGACTTCTTTTTTTGTGTAGTTCAGATTTCGTATTTTTGGTTATGTTTTGTTTGTGTGCTTTTTTGTGGTAAACAGCAAAGTTGACTTAGATTTTCTTTTTCTTATTTAGTTTTTAAATTTCTGTAAATGGTTTATGAAGTTGTCACATCGTTTAGTTTGTCCTTCGTTCGGCTTGTCATGTCGGGAAAGGTTAGGAGAGCTGCCTTACATGCCTTGATTAAATTAATCTTGTCTTCATCAATTAAAATAATAGAAAGATTTGTGTGATAGAGGCAGATTCTTTGCGCTCTCACTTCTTGTGCTTTCATGTGTCTTCTATTTGTGTGATCACGGTTAAGTTACGTTAATATTTTTTATTAATATTTTTTTTGTCTTATTATCTTTATAAAAAAATAATATAAAATATTAACGTTGTTTAATCGTGACCACACAAAACAAGAGGGCACGAGAAATTGGAGGGTAGATAATCTACCTCCTTGTGTGATATATGATGATATGACACAAGTTATTAGTATTCTTTAGTGTTCTTGACTATCGTAAAAGAGTAATGTTGTTCATACTATGTTTTTTTATATTACATTTTCATACCATCTTAGGTAGCATTTAATGTGGATAGCCACATCATTTGAAAAATTTGCAAAAACCAAGGAAGGAAGGAGAAAGATTCCTCGTATACCACAATCATCATTTAATTAACTATTTTTTCTTAATTATTAGTTTATTAAATAATGAACTAAATTTAAAAATCTGATTAATTCAAATAGTGTGGTTGTCCACATCAAATGTCACATAAGTTAGTATGAAAACGCGGTACAAAAACATAGTATAAATAGCATTACTCATCGCAAAGTTGTCAATTACTCTTGAACTATTTTTCATGTCAATCTTCTTTAAACTAGTAGGAAACTATCAATTACGATAATTAGGTGGTATACAATAGGCATATGTATAATAGAACGCTTTCTAACAACCTATGCATTCGATTATCGTTTCGCAATTAGATGATCCATTAATGCAACTGAAGAGGATTATAAATGGATCAATTTTTTTTTGTTTTTACTAGAGATTGGAATAGATGGAATTTCTGTGGGATGTATTTTACTTGCAGGATTTATCACAATTTTAGCTACATTAGCGGCTCGGTCGGTTACTCAAGATTCACATGCACCCTCTCCATGGTTTTCCCTACTTTCTTTTACAGCAGTCTCTTCAATCTTATCCCAATTCACACAAATTCCTTCTCATGCAAAGCCCGAACTGGGTTTTCGCACAATTGAATTCTTTCTGGATTGTAGAAGGGGGATTTCCAGACCAAAAAATCTCTCCTTTTGCTGGGAAATCCACTCCTGCTCTGCAAATTCTTCTGTCACCAAAAACAGAAATTCTAAAATTCATTACTCGAGGATAACGGGCAAAACATGCACCCGTGAAGAACCTCTAGGTCCGTACTGCGATACTTCCACGCAACTGCATGTCGACATCTCTTTTGGAGTAGTTCAAGTTTCGTATTCTTTGTTATGTTTTGGTTGTGTGTTTTTATGTGGTAAAGAGCAATTTGAGTTGGATTTTCTTTTTCTTTTTTTAATTTCTGTAAATGGTTTATTAAGTTGTCACATCGTTTGGTTTGTACATCATTCGTAAATTAAATTAATAGAAAGATTTGGGAGGTGTATGATGATATGACGCAAGTCACTAGCAGTCTTATGGTGTGCTCGTTTATACAAACAAGTAACTCGTTTATTCAACCAAGCTCAACTGCTTTACTATTAGTGTATAGTGCCAAATATCTTCCGAACTATTGCAAAGTTGTCAATTACTCATGAATTATTTTTCATGTCAATCCCTTTAAATTAGTATGAAGCTATCAATTACGATAATTAGGTGGTATACAATAGGTATATGCATAATATAACTCCTTCTAATAACTTATGCATTCAGTTATTTTTTCCAATTGGATGATCCATTAAAGCAATTGATAGACGAATTTAAATGGATAAAAATTTTTATTTTTTTAACTAGAGATTGGAAATAGATGGAATTTCTATAGGACCTATTTTATTACAGGATTTATTAAACAACTTAGCTTACAATTAGCAGCTCAGCGGTTACTCAAGATTTTGTGACTATTCCCATTTTCTTGATGTTAGGCATGTATAGCAATCAAATAGGACTATTTTCTTCTAGAGACCTTTTACTTTTCTTCATCTTGTGGAAGTTGGAATTAATTCCAATTTATCTACTTCCATCCATACGTTTGCATTCAACTACAAATTTTTTTTTTTTTTTTTTTTTTTTGGGAAAACTGGACATTGTATTCTAGGGCCAAGGTCAAACAAAGACACAAAGAGGTTCACAAAATTTGTGTGGACTACAAAATTTGTTTTGCACACCACAAGAAGTTTTGTTTTTTATTAATGGGATTTTTGGGCATTGTACACTTCGGAGACAAAATGATATTCTAGTCTACGCTAAATTACGTGAAAAGACATTTAAACTTAAAATACAAAGAGAGAGCATATTATTATTGCCAACCTAAGTTTTAAATCTGTTGCAACAATAATGTTATGATTCTTAAATTTATTTCATCCAATAATGCGCAAATACATGTGTTGATGTGTTTCATCTCAAAACAATGAGAAATGCTAATGAGACTTTTAAAAGGGCATACTGTTTTATAATATTAGTACGAAAATTAACGTTAAACTGTAAAGTGACATAAAATTCATAAAAAATCTCACTTTCAAAAATTCTCCTTAACATTTCTCAAAAACAAGTTGGTGCCACCCCAACATGAAACACTATCACGTACAGTTTGCAAATTACCTAAAAACTTTACACACAACCGCCGAGGTAGTACTATGTGTTATGTCACGAGAGGACGTATCATCTTTTAAATGCCTAGATTTTGTCTCACTTAATTCTTACTTAAAAAATATCTTAATTAACGATTCATTATGGTGAGCGGAAAAACGTTTCAACTACAAGTCCAGAAGCAGTAGAGAAGTCGGTCACTGGCTGTAATTTTGAACGACATAAAGCGTGATAGTTTGAAAGGTAGTTGGTTGAGGACGGTGGGGTCTCTTAGAAATTATGCTCAAGTCGTTTGATAGCTATTTTGGAAATATTTATAAACAATGACTACAACAGTTTTTGGTGATTTTTTTTAACCAATTTTTAATAAGACTGTAAATAAATTCTGAAAAAAGTTCGTACAAGAATGTACATAACTGGTGTTTTTTACTGAAAGCACTTTAGGTGTTCTTGGAACCAATAAATATTTTCTCTAAAAGCGTTTTAGTAATTTTAAAAACACTTCTAAACGAGCTCAAATAAATAGAAAATGGCTTTGAAATGGTTGTTGAGGAATGGGGGACGATGCCCCTCCAACCAATTATTAATAAGGAAAACTAATGAAAATGGCTTGAAAACTTTGAGTTTTAATGATAAGGACAAAATAAAGGGTAAAGTGAATAGTACCAGGATTGACTTTTTAGTGTAAAAATGTGGTTTTTCGTTAAAATGAACAGTACCGGGTGCTTTTCGTTAAAGTTCCCTTATTAATATGTTGGGACGCTGTATAAATTGTTGTCATGTAGTAGCTGGATGTATTAACATAATAATTTACTAGCCTCATAACAACTTGCTACGCGTGACTTACACGTTTTAAATTTATTTATATGTGTAAACTGACAAAAGGAAAGTCAAATATTTGAAGTAAATAGATCATTTTAGATCATACTAGAAGAAACCCCTCATAAAATAATTAAAGCAGCTGAATTTACATAATAAAATCGGTCTCTATAGAATTTACATTCAGAATAGAGAAAATAATATTTAATAAACAATTGATTAAATCACATTATTACTAGCCCATTGTGAGACTAGGCCCACCACTTTCCCCCAGTGTAGATAATATATTTTGTTTAAAAAAAAAAGAATCATTTGACAATTAATTTACAGGAAAATTAATGAAAAGAGTTTGAAAACTTTGAGTTTTAACGATAAGGACAAGATAAAGGGTAAAGTGAATAGTACAAGGTTTAACTTTTTAGTGTAAAAATGTGATTTTTCGTTAAAATGAACAGTACCGCGTGCTTTTCGTTAAAACTCCCTTAATTTAATCACATTATTATCTGCGTGTGAAAGACATTTTTTATAACCGACATTACAACCTCTTATTAAGATGGTTCGAACGTGTTTAAAAATAGAGAAATTGAATCATATTATTGCTAGCCTATTGTGAGATACTAATTATAAAAATAAAAATAAAGAAACTGCACTAAAAAATTAATTATTAAAAAAAGCACTATTAAAATTACAAAATTACCCTTGTATTATTTTATGCATTCTTTTTACTGCTTTTGATTTTTTGGCTGAGAGGCATTTTGGCCGTATTATTTTTTGTTGAAGCCGTGACCGCAAAGTGGGGCTCTGGCTTTATATATAAGACAAATAAATTTCATAAAAAATAAAAAGGATCAGATTCGGATCAAATCGAAAGAGAAGAAGCAAGAAGTCATATATAGAAGATGAAGTCACATCATACTCCTATTTTTAGGGTTTACACTCTTTTACTATAGTGGTTTCCATGCAATTATTAAGCTTCTGGAATCTCCTCCTCCGCGTGATGATCGTGTTCTGAGT